CATCCGCAGTAGGTGTCCTTTTTTGGGTTGTTTGGTTGAAAAGCAGAGGGCCCTTGGCGATGTACCTGGTGGTTCCATCAAAGGACACGTCGACTGTCTGTGTTTGGGGAACCAACAATTTCCGGCTGCACGGCCATTCTTCGCGTTTGGCTTGCTGGGTCGCCGCGGTCCGTTTGGCGTAAACGGCGAGGCTGTGAAGGAAGAGGCTGCCAAAGAACAGGTGGGAAGTTGCCGTGCAAGGCTTGTCGAGATGCCAGGAAATGTGTGTCTAGTCCAAATGGTTCAAAATTAAACCACCAGGAATTGGACCGCAGGTTTTAGTCCATGGTTCCCTTTACCAAGGTTGTGGGTACCTGAATTTTGACCCACAGGTGATTCTAACAGCAAATTCTGACCGTGGCACATGTGGGTTGTGCCAGTCGCCACCGACACCACTGGCTCCAGCGGCCACCAGAACGATCAACGCTAGAGACCCAATGAAAAAGATGCCGCGCAGCAAGTAGTAGTTGATACCCCGAACTTTGCAAGTGGAATAAGGGCAGCTTTGCATTTTGTTACTCTCTCCTCAAGCCAGGCCTGTGTCATTGCATGTGCTTGATTCGCTGGCAACGCTGCTCCCAAAAGAATTGTGTGTGGCTCCCCAGAATGGGCACACAGCTACCGGTGTATTAGATAAAGTATTTAAATTTCTATGCAACGTATGAAGATTCAAGATCCAAGATTGCTCCATCTTGGATCTCGGATCCAGGCTTGGATCTTGGATGCTGGATCTCAATGTGGCACAGAAATCTTGAACCTTGGATCTTGGATCTTGGATCTTGGTTCCATATTATACGGTATTTTCTACATACCGTGTTCAGAATTGAGGAGCGCATTCATGGATCCAAGCTTGCTCTCTCACCAGTCCTACAAGTTCTCCAAAACAATAATCTACTTCCTGCCATTGACTCCATGCCTACACATGTTTGCTCAAGTCTGCTGTGAGAAGCAATCAACACAGTGCAGCTGTCTGCTAAACAATGCAAACCGGGGGGCACTTGAAAGGGGGGGAGGATTTAGACATACGTAAACTAATATATATATATATATATACATACACATCATAATATACATACATATGAATATATATATATATATACATACATAATGTATGATGTAGATCAGCACAGGTTTCTTTTGGTTTCCCCTCCCATCCCAGCAGCCCCCAGCAGCGCCTTTCAGCATCCTCTCCGCAGGCCTCGCACTGCGCTCGGCCTCGTGGCAGCTACCGCGAGGAGAAAAGCATACCATGTTTGCCCTTACTTGCTGGTGCTCAGTTGGAATTGAGGGAATGTCCCCTATAAACCATCCCTTGTGGTTTCCTTCAAAGGGAATCCGAATCTATTCGTTTTCCCAGCACCATTTCTCTACCGCAATTGGGTTGGATCTTTAGACTTTAACTTGTTGGATTCCCTTCATATTTTCTTTTAGCTAGCAAGAAGTTAAACTTTTGCTGGGGGATTTACAGCACCCAAGAATGTGTGACAATTCCAGACAGTTGCATTCTACGAAATGCGTTTTCTCTTTGGCATTTCGTAGTCATATGGTTGTTTTTGTTGTTTGTGATTTCAAGATTAGCTTGGTTTCTCAGAATGGGTTATCCTCTGTTTTGGTTTGCTGCTAAAGGAACGCCAATAGAAAAGCCCATTCATTGTAGGCACAATTTGGAGACACATCCTTGACAGATCCATTCTGAGCCTTCCTTCGGGGGGTTGAGGTTGGGACGCAATGATTTCGCCAAGCAATCAAGGACCTGCAAGGCGTGTGCCCTTAGATTCCTTTCCCTTTCACATCACCAGTCGATCGCCATGGAACCCAAGGGAAAGGGGGAGTTTCGAGCCTGTGGGGGACCGAAAGGTGTGTTCCACGTTTGGGTGGTTGAACAAATCGGCAAGTCTTTCGGTTTCAGCTCATCGAATGATTCTTGGATTCATGTCCCTAGATATGGACAGGGTGCACTTAGACTCAACGTGCAACGCCAGGGGCCACTGACTTGCCAAAACCAAGATGAGCTCCGAGCCCGTCGAAATGCGCTTGGGTTTGGCTCGGGGTGAAGTATTGCCAGAGCCTGCCTTTTCAACTTTGTTTTCAACTTTGTGGCTTTTGAGTGCCCTGCATTTCACCGTTCAACCAAGAAGCAGCTAGCCTTTTTGCAGTTACTTGCGCTGTGGCAGGAAATGAAGCGCGCCCTGCACTCGACGTACACCAGAGAGGACTGACGTGGCGAGACTTGCGTCGCATGTGCAGAACGCCTGGCTTGAAAGGTTGCAAAGTGCGCGTTGTTTGCCTTGCGACCCCAGATTAATAAACTTCTGTTGATGAACATGGGGGTGTCCCTGGTTTTAGCAGGAGTTTTGCACTTTGGAGGGGCACACCCCCATATTGATTAAGAAGGGCTCAATCCGACCTGATTCCTCATTTTGACCGCCCATGGCTTGCAGATTGATCGGCCGGGGCTTGGAGTGGGCTTCCTTGGAGGTCTGGCTTCATGAGGAGAAAGTTGGGGATGTCTTGCAAAAGATGGACCCAGCAAGTCGCCGTTCGGAGTCCACGTTTCGAGCCTTCATGGGAGCTGTGGGTTTCATGTTGACACTTTCTGTAGCAGAGAAATCCCCATGAAAGTGAAGGCGGGAGGCTGGTGGGCTTCTCACTCGCCACAGAGAGAGCGCCAGGAGATCGAGCGTTCGGTCAGGAAGGCACAGGCAAACGAGCAGGCGAGGGGGAGGAGTTTGTTGCTTGGCTGGTTGGTTTGGTTTGGCTTTGGTTTGGTTTGGTTTGGTTGGGTTGGGTTGGTTTGGTTTGGTTTGGTTTGTTTGGTTGGTTGCTGACTGGTTGGGTGGGTTGGTTTGGTTGGTTGGTGGGTGGGTGGGTGGGGTCGGGTTGGGTTGGATGGTTGGTTGGCTGGTTGGCTGGTAGGTACTTGGTTCAGTGCGGTCGACGGGCCAGCTGACTGGTTGGGAAGCTGGATGTGTGGAAGTCTGACTACACTTCTGTTTTGCAGTATCTGTCAAATTTGATTCCGTCCCACCAAAAGGAAGCTCCAAGCATCCCCATAGGTCCCCACTTTAAAGTCACCAAGGAAAAACCAATCACAACGGCCCAAGAGGTGATGTTTATCCTCTCCCACCAGCAAACATGGACCATAGCCACTTTGGTGGCGGCTCTACTGGTTTAAGGCTTATTCTGCGGACGAAATCCTGCACGGACAACTCCGGACCAAACTCTCTAGATACCGGATGTGCACCTGTCAACTGGTGCAGATTTTTGTCCATCCACAGTAAGACCTGAATGAACTAACTCGCTCCAACGGGAGGCGGCGAGCCAGGAGGACCAGGCGGGGCGAGACTTTATTTATCGGATGTCTGCAGACATGGTGCTTCTGCGGTGCCATAGAATCGCCATACATGCGACCTTTTTTCCCACCATGTGAGGATTTGTGGGGACTGGATGGATAAATCCGCATCGCACCAGTAGGAAGTCTAACTCGATTTCTATCTCGATTGTCTCAGTATGGTTGTTGCATCCATCCCAGCTGCATTGTGTACATCCAGCCAGACAAAGCTTTGAGATGCAACCACTCACTCACACACAGAAGGATGTGCATCCTCGCTTGATGACGTTTGGTCAAACAAATCACTGACGACTCCCTTTCTCTTTTTATCTCTAATGCTCGCAAGGCTCATTTTTCATGTTCTTCAGCAATTCTTGACCATGGTTCACATGGTTTGGGCCGTCCACGAACGTGGACGCCACCAGAGGGTTGTTAGAGGAACACCAAACCAGGATCCCTCTAGTCAGGTTCCATGTTTGCGGATGGGAGGATGATTTGCTTGTCAAGGGAAATTGCCACGTGCCATGTTGGTAAGGTGTCTGAAACAAGTATGGCTGTGGGTCAAAACCAATGGGATCCCATTTTGGGGTAGGTGCACCTCCCTTTTAGTCTATTTTGGTGGGGATTGGGATGTTCACTGGGGGCACGATTTTTGTTGTGACCCATGGCCAAATATGTCGGTGGATGGCAGAGCCCACATGGGTAGGCCATTCCAATCCCGCGTTTTGATGAGGGTCCCTCGCGAGACACGTTTGGGCCAGCGAAGAAATCACATACGTACCAGCTCATTGGGAGGAATGCTTCATGTGGGTCTGTCCTTCTCTCTTTTTTGGTGGCTTAGGAAAGCTAAGAGGAAACCAAGCCGCGCTGAGGGGGGGGGGTCCGATTCCAAACACAAGATGAGCAACATACGGTGGGTGAAAACAGGTACCCCAAATGGAACCCTGGTAAGTGGAAACATGGACCAAAACCTGCGATCCAATTGGTGGTGACTAATTTTGACCCATACCCATATATCGTGCCTCACCCTGGCAGGCGCTGAGGGCTCTGCAAGTCCGGGAATTCCTCTAGGGCCCCGAGGGCCCCGAAACCGCCCCGAGGGCGCCGTCCAAAGCAGACGGGGTCTTTTGGAGAGACGGCAAAGCCGAGCCAGGGTGGCGTTGATTCACCAGGAGGGTCAACTTTTTTTGGTTGCACTTTGAGGGCTTCCGAATTTCTACTTTGGGTGAGAGAAGCCTTGAAGGCCCAATCTTTGAAGGTAAGTCACTAGAATGGACTCAAAAGTGCGCAACAACGAACATGCAAACGATCAAACAGATTAAGTGAGATTTGTCCGGGGCTCGCTGCATGGCCTATTGAGGGCTGCAAATGGTCTCAACCCACCTGGGCCGGACCCACGACCAGCTGTGCGCAGCGTGCGCCAAAGGGGTGTGCCAAAGGCCGCCGCTCGCTTCCAAAAACGCCTGAAAGACGGCCGCTCAGGTGACAAGCATGCGGAAAGGCGTTGCTTGACACGGTATCATCTCGCATTCCCAAGAAACATCTGGCGCTTCTTTCCTCTTCGGCCAGTTGAGTCACTGCTTTTAGGATCCCGAAACGAAGCGATGTCCGGCCGAAGAGCAAATCGCAGGCGACGTCCAGAGAGAACTGGGGAGTTCCCAACACCACGCTGCAGGCGCACGATCCGGTCGACAGCCTCGTATGTACCAGAGAAATGGCCCCTTTTAAAGGAACATAGTCCAATCCAGGACCCCATATTAGTGGGCGGCGGGTACCTTCCGAAATAATTGGATTTAAGTCACCTCCCTTCCTGATGTCCATCAGTTTGGAAAGCCAAATCCAAAATCGTGCTCATATAATCCCCCTTTTGCCCTCGCTTAGGCCACTGTGGGACATGCTTAGCTTGCCGTCGGCTGTTGAGATTGTTCGAGGAATCCATCGTGGCTTCGCTTTGGACAATGGCAACCCATGTCAGCTCTTGGATGAGGCTCTTTGACATTTCGATTCGTAGCCAGCCACATGCGAGCTCAAGCAACCGCTTCAGGCGTGCAAGCCTACGATTTGCTTTTTGCTTCCACCTTTGGTTCCCTGAAACGTGCCTTCGAAAGGGTGTCCCTCCGAACAAATTCAGAGGTTTGGTGGCAATTGTTTGAGGGGTCGGAGGCGGGCAGAGTGTTAGCGGCATACGGAGTGTGCATTGTGAAGAGGTGTGTGAAGCTAAAAGTGTGGAGAATCATCGAGCGAATTGCGGGGGGATAGACACATTGGGGGCATTTGAGACCTCAATCTGAGGTTCAAGCCCGACCCCCCTGGCCAGTGATCATTTTACAGTCCCACCCCCCAATGCGGCCTCTCTTTCGGGTCTTTAACTAGGTCCCCCAGTAGTGCTCTTTTACCCTTTCTTGGTTGGGAGGGTTCCCCTACTAAAATAGACTACAGAAAAAAGTTGGTACCCTTATTCTAATCTCTCTACTAGAGGACCTAGTTAAGGCCACACTCAAAGCGACGGGGTGCCTCAAAAAAGGAACCAGCAGCCCTCCATCCGAAGCGCCCAGCGGCTCAGCGGCAGGCCATCGCGCAGGCCACTTCCAACATGGCTGGGAGCTGAGAATTCGGCACTTCTGCAGGGTTGGAGGGTAGCCGGAGTGGTGGTCACTGGGGTTCCGAGCTCCACACCTAACCGGGCAAGTCCCGCTCCAAGTCACTTCGACTTCTTTTAGAGGGAAGCTGATGTTTTGGACCCTGCTTTCGACCAGTGGATGATGAACAGATCAAGCAGCACTAAAACATCCTTTTGGGGGCTTAACAATTTGGATCAGCCGTCACTGGAGGCGATGTTCAAAGAAATACTGTGAGGACCCCGGCTTAGGGGCGAAAGTGAAGGCCTTTGCAGCGGGAGTTTCCGAATAAGACGGCCAGGAATCAAAACCTGGAGTTTTCCAGGCCCTTTGGCCCCCGAAAGAAGCGCGAGCTCCGAATCAGAACCGGCTTTCTTTTGTTGCAACATCAGAGGCAGAGACATGTGGTAAGAGCCGAGGTCGGAATCAATCATGGTAGGCGTGCTTTGCATACTGTGGATGGTTGCGAAATCCATTTCGCACCACTGAAATCGTGGTTGAAACCATCGTTTTTTGGCCTAGACAGGGGATTGAGCCATTTCTTAGGCTGTGCGAAATGGATTTCGTCCTGGCTGTCCCTCAGAATATATATATATATATATAACAAGCCAAAAGGGAAGCCTCACAATTTCTGCTGCTGAGGAAGATTGTGATTTAATCATGAGCTTCCTCTGGAAGATCCTGCAGGCCATCCCGATGCGAGCCGTGATCCGATTTCTGCATAGCCTTGTTTGCTTCTCGGGATGGCATGGGTGGTATGGTCGAAAGATAGCTTGACTTGGCATGGTGTCATGGACCCTAGGGATTTCGGACAGCCAGTGCAAGGAGTCCTTGAGGGGTAACCATGGCCATGATGAGGTGCAACGGCTCGATGGCAATCAAAGGACGCCCCTTTTGGGATTTGTGCACTCACGTATACACACACGTTAAATACAAGCGAAGCTGACGGAATAATGCTCGTGATTAGAACTCCAAAGAACTCAGAGGCGCCGAAAGTGGGGTTCCTAAAAGCTCTCCTTCTTGCAAGTGGGGCCATGGCATTCGCGTCGCGCAGGAGAAGAAGGATAAAGAATGGAGACGAGTGGTCAAGACGCTGAGTCTCATAGAGGCCGTCACGTGAAACCTCTAGGCACCGAAAGGACTCAAGGGAACCCGTTTTTTCAACTACCCACCCTCCCTTGTACCCCGGCCCCCTTAAAGGTTCCATAAACACCCTGTTTGGATGGTTGCAGAATCCACTTCGATCCAGTGATAATGTGACCAGCCCGCAGTATGAAAGGCTTCTGTGGAGAAGCTTTATGTGCCATGGTGAACAGACCGCTTCCTATACTTGGGGATGGTAATAACCGGTTCAACCATGATGAATCCTGTGAAGGTAACCATGGCCATGGCCATATTATCAGGAGTTTGACCATGGCATGTATAGGTGGTAAGCAGCCGAGGGGTGCGCAGACAGAGCACGTCCGATACAGGCTTTTCCCACCACCTTTTTTGTTGGTTGTACAGGGAAACCCAAAAGGAAAACCAACATTTTTTGAGGTCCCCTAAAAAACGACATGCATATGCATTGCACATGCTGGGCGTCAAAGCAAAGCCCGTCCGAGTCCTGCTTTACTTGGCAGATGTCGCTGAAAGGAAAGAGTCCAGCTCCGTCAATTTGGGATCATACTTTTGTTCTTGCCTTTCTATGCCATGCCCTTGGTTCATTCCACCTAATGCCCTTGCCTAGGTCAAACCTAAATCGCAAGCTGGAATTAAAATCACGTACCCGGAGGCGAACCGTAGGAGTGGAAGGGGCAAATGCATCCAAGCAGGGTAAACTGTGTTTTTTTTGGGGCGTGGCTGGGAATGCCAGGAATGCTTCCTGCGACACTGCGGATGAATAACGTCACACGCCTTTCTAACGCCTTTCACGTCTTCTTTCTCAGATTAAATGTCCAAGCCCTGTGCTTGAAACAACCTGGTTCCATTTTACAAGAAGGCCGGGGGCTGGTAGTTTGAGCAATTTGTGCCACCCTCAGACTGACCAATTCATGGCGCTCTTGCCGGCCTGCGCCAGATGATTGTGAAGCACGGCAGCGAGAGAGCCATCCAGGAGACACAGTAGCGAGAAAGGGCTGTGGAGAGGGGGTTCCGACGTGGATATCTCGTCTCGCTTTTTTTGAGTTGGTGCCTTTTTTTTGGGGGGAAACGAAGAGGAACCCCGCCATGTTGGGAGACCCAAACAGACGAGAAAGCGGGGCGAGCCACAAAATGCAGCCACAACAGCCAGGCGGACACTCATGTTCGCATGTCCCAAGGTGCGAGCAGGTTCGGGGGAAGCTCTTTTGCGGTTGGTTCGTCTCACAGTCTCACACAATGTCGGACCGGTTGGTTCCGCTCGGTTTTCATTTCAACTCAGCCAACACGGGGCTCCCAGATCCCCATCCCGTTGAAAGTGAAAGGCGGCAAACCAGCGACTCGAAACGGGCCCGAAGAAGGGTCCCCATGCTTGACGAGGTTTATGGACAGAGGCTACAAGGAATGGGTGAGTGAAACAAAAGCTGAACACAAGTTCCGGAAGGAAGACCATGTGCAAAACCGGGCAAGCAACAGCTTGACCTTTGCATCACTCAGCTTTTGCAAGATGAAGTGCTTGATGAGGAAGTCAGACGGGACGCCTGGCGAATTCAGCCTGGGGCCAAGGTATGCTCTGTTGCGCAGAGTTCGTTGTCGGTTGAGCTGTTTGGTACGGCTTCCAGACGACAGGTTGAGAGGCTTGCAATCCCTTGCAGATGCTCAGAAAAAAAAGCAAAAACATCAAGACAACCAGACAACTCCCAGCAATGGTTGGGTGCACCAGGCCACTTTTAAGGAAGATTTCTCATGTTTCCGTTAAACAACAAAACGGGGCAGCGTTTTCGTCCTCAACTCTTCACGTGCTAGGCAGTGGAAGGAGTTCCGCTACATGGAGGAGGGCAAGGATGTTGGTTCCGGCATCCGCTTTAAGGCGATGGCGATTTTTGGGGCTGACGATTTTTGGTGGAGGGTTCCCTGCTTGGTGTGGCTTGAAAGGGAAGCCCAAAGGAAAACCATTCAGTTTGGGGTGTCGCAACACACCTAAGAGGACCTGTACAATCTTAGCCTACCTTTCGGGCAAGATTGTTCGGAATCTCGGCTTGTGAATATGAATTGTTCATTTCCATATTCAAAAGTCTATATTAACGTGTATAATGTCTTTGTGGCTCCCAGCCATCCCCTTAGCTTTTTAGCTTGTAGTGTTTAGTGGTAGTTTCCATTTCCCCCACTAAAAGTTATTCAATGGACACAGGTGGCCGCCATCCCTCGCTGCAATCCCTTCGACAGGCGGCCGCCATCCTGGAGATGCTCTCGGATGAAGAGCTCCTGAAGGAGGAGTTCTCTCGGTGCTCCTTACGTGGGAGGTCCCTATCCTGCACCACCTAAGAGATGCTGGCATGATGATTCCCCTGTAAATAGCAACAAACAATGGTTTCCGATAGCTCCGAAGTGGTGTAGGATTTCGTCCATCCACAGCATGTGGGTGTGTCTCACAACGCTTTGGGACCCCACCATGCTTTTTGTTTTTGTTTCGGCACCTGACAGTGGGGCCCGAAATATGGATGATCGTTATGGATGTGTCCTTTCTTGATGGGGGCATTTTTGCTGCGATTGGGATAATCCACCTACTGGTGCGAAAGGGTTGTTGTTTATGAACAGCTCATGCCTCATCTCCATGATCCAGAGCCAACTTGCAGGAGGATCCACTGCAGAACAATTAAGGGTTAGGACCGTTCCATGGCTCCCCTTTGCCCCTGAATCAGTCTTGATTTCGCTTGCAGTGCTATCCCACTTTCGATTGTAGATTGCGTTTGCCAGAGGTGTATGGTCCGTTCGCTCGCGGGAGCGCGAGCTCCAAATCTCCCAGGAGAAGGAGAAGGCGCAGAAGCTGCAGCAGAAGATGACCTCCATGGTGGCGCCAGGCAGCGAAATCAAGCAGGACGCAGCGGGGCAACTGGCCCTTTTTGGCGAGTCGCACGTCGGAACCCGTAGCACCCTCAAGCGGCTGTGGGTCAAAAATAGGTGCCTAAATGGATCCCTGGTAAGTGAATGGTGGTTTCATTTTGACCCGCACACACACAATCATGGCTGGTGGACGTAAATCCCCATGAAATATGCCAGCAGGGGTTGCATGGATGCCACAAAATCAGAGGGGTTTCCTTGGGTTGGCTTTTCCGTGTGAAGCTCATCAACATTTCTAGTCTAAGGTCAATATGGGGCTTGGGGTGACAAAAAACCAGGCAGACCAGCCAAATCGCCGTGTTACAAAGAACAGAGACAAGATGAAGATGGAAGAAGGACTATAGAGAATGAAAGGGAGAAATGAGGAGCAAACTGATTCTATTTTAGATGTCTTTCATTAGTTATCTTATTAATTTTGTCACATTTTCCATGTCATCATCTCTTATGGAAATATTGTTATTCATTGAGAGAGGTAAAGGAAGAGGAAGAGATTTCACGCAGATTCCAGAGGCATTTCTACATATCTTGAAGTTATTATATCTTGGATTTCTGATGGAGCTATATCTCAGAGAATGATAGGTAGGGTAGGGACAGGAAGAAGAGAATGACCGTAAAGTCCTTGACAGATAGTCATATTTCTTTGCCAGCATCTACATTTTGTCATTTTGATGCTTCTCTTTTCATTTATCTCGTTCTCATTTGCAGAGTTTCACAGCGTACGAAAGGAATGACACATGGTCAATTCAGAGGTATGTTTTTGAATATTAAAGAACTAATTTTCAACATGTTCACCATGCTTGTTTCTTCTTTGTCTTAGAACATCCCACCCGCTGTTCCCCTGGCCTTGGCGGCTTTCCGGAAAAGAAGCAGATCCCTGGTTTCATCATCGCCACAAAATTTAGAAATTGACATTGGAAGTGGTTTTGGTGGTTTCATGGAAGCATCGCATCCCTTGTGTCATATCTTTTACTGCACAAGAAATGTCATATTCTCATTTGACATATGAGTTGATTCTGGCAGTGTGTTTTGGGTTTCCAGACAGGCATCGCATTCCTGCTTTCGCAGCTTCTACTTCAATTGATGTTGGACATGTTTTTGGCGGTTTTGCCTGGAACGGCGGCTCTCTGGTTTCGTAGATTTGACTTCCTGAATACAAGACATGTATGCATATATCTCCAGTTGTGTTGCCGAATTGATGTTGGCAGTGTGTTTCGTGGTTTTCTGGAAACGAATCAGATCCCCTGGTTTCATATTTTTTGCTTCATACTTGCAAGGAGTATTTTTGTTATTATGAAGTGATAAAAGTCTTTTAGTTTGCCGGCAAAGACTAGTTTCATATCTTTTGCATTGTACTCAAGATCATGTTTATGAATTGTATTGATGTTGGTCTTCCAGAAAATAATCGTCCGGAGAATCATAGGATCCCTGTTGATGTTGGACCGGAACAGACTCAGATCCCTCGTCTCGCAATGTTTGGAAGTTCTCCCTGGAACTCGCTTTCTGAGTTTCTGGTTGCTTTTCACTGTTTGTTGGGTGCCAGCCAGCAGCTTCGAGAAAGCTTCGCCCAGATTTTTTAGTTTCTTTGGGCTTGGTGGTTTGGATTTTTGGATTGGTTCGGTGAAGAGGGTGAAGAGGGGGGGGGAACCCTTTTGAAAGACAAGAGGTCTGGGCCAGTCAGGAGGGCGGTGGCTCGGCCTTCAAGTCCCCCTTCGACAAGGCGAGGGCGCGACAGATGGCGAGTTTCCGAGACGGGCGAAGTGGACGTTTTCCGTCCCTCCCCGAAAGTAAATGGCTAATAAACACCCCCCTTTTTTGGACCCCCCCTGTTTTTTCTCCTCCAACCACAATTCGGGACACTGCTCCACCAAGTTCTTGGCATTTCCCACTTGGGTTCTTGGTGATGCAAGTGCCAGGGGCGCCGGGCATGGAGAAGAAAGCAGCCGGAGGAAAGCAGGCGCCTCAGTGGCTCGCGGCGCTTGACGCGTTTGGATCGTCACGCCAGCCACTGGTGGAAGATCCATTTGGGTTTGTCTCTTTTTTGGTGGTACCTCAAAAATGGTTGTTTCCTTTTTGGTTTCCATTTAAAACCACCAAAAAGGGGTACCATCAAAAAAAGACACACTCATTTGCATGTTGAGGATGGCCCTGTGGACACAGAGACAGGAATGTGTCATCCCCCCCACTGCTACTGTTGATCCCCCGATTGCAAGTACTACTGGCATGGTTTGTTGGATTTGGTTTGGTGGCATTTGTTGTTTTGTTTGAGCATCAACCATCGCTTGTATCCCTCGATCCTTTTGGAGGTCCCGTGTGGCTGGCCTCTCCGTTTCAAGCTCTGAACATTGATCCTGAGGCCCTCAGTCAAGCCCCACATCTCCATCAGGAGAGGGGTAGGGATGCTGTATCGGCCTTGCAGAGAGAGAGAGAGAGAGAGAGAGCACAGTACTTTGCAAGCCCTTCTTGCTGTTTTTGATGGCACCCTGTTGGGGGTTGCAAAGGGAAACCAAGGGAAATCATCCATCTTTGGGGTTGCCCCCATTCTGAGCGAGACAAATCTGAGCCTGCGGCCGCACTCTCACTCCTTGACGTGACTTTGGCTAGACTCTTTCACTACCGGTTTTTGATTCTGGCCTCATGCAGCTATGTGAATCAATTCCCGGACCCCCACACTTCTTGGGTCCCTTTAAAACCCGAGGGCTAGGCGATGGAGTAGCAAAAATGCTACTCGGACTGAAGACCTGGCCGGGCCACTAAAGTTAGGTACCACCGGTACTGCTCACACCGTGCCATGGGGAGCCGTAGACTTGGATGCCAAAGACCGCGAGGACGCTTGCCCCAGTCGGATGCCGATATGGCGGCCATGGCCGGACTGACGTGACTTGAATGGCTGTAAGCACGGGGTCAGCACGGGGGACGTGGGTGGCTCGTCTTTTCTTCGAAAAGCAAACATATCTTTCTCCGAAAGGGAAACCAAAACGGAAAGCCACGACTTTTTGGGTTTTCTATTTTGATGCATGCCCATACAGAAAGTTAGGGCTGCTCCTATGATGCCGAGGGAGTTATCTGGGTGACAAGATCGTAATGAGCCGCCAAACAATGGCGTTTGCCTTGAGGGCGCCTGATGTTCAAGGGGGAGGGGTCCCTGGTCTTTCACACCCTCACGGTGCTTATTTTGCTTCCTGGAGGAATAGCTTTTCCAACCAGAAGGGAAGCATAGGGCAAAATGTGGCGTTCTCGCTGGCCTTCTATTTATCTACCACCCTACTCTCTCCATATCTACGAAAAATCTGTGTGTGTGTGTCTCTAGCTATCCGTGTCTCTACCAACCTACCTACCTACCTACCTACCTATCTATCTATGTATCTATCTATCTGTATGACTAGCTCCCCGGCTACCTATCTATGGATCTAAACCTGGAAGTCTCCAACTCTTCGCTTTCCCCAGAATTTTTCCTACTTTGGTATCACAAAAAGACCCACGCAACCTCCTTTTTATGTTTTTTCTTTCGTGGGTCTTGAGAGGCTTAGACCTGTGTTCCAATATGGGGACCAGCGATTTTTAGTTGGACCCACCGTGGACCTTGCTTTCTTGGAGACCGAGGCGTGGTCCTTTGGTTGCAGATTTTGCAACCCTTTCCGGTGTTGAGACTTAACCCTGTCCATGTTGCCATACCCACTAGAGGGTCTCTTTGAACAATGGGTCCCTTAGGGGAATCCCCCAGTCAGCCCTACACCTTCAGCAAAGCTTTGGTTGCCACCTCGCGGGTTTGGGTAGGGATCATTTTGACCTTTGAGTGGTCAGCAGGGGATTGCTTTCCGTTTACCCCGTTGGGATGACTTTGGACTTGGACGGGTCCACTGCCCCAGTGCTCGGCACTCTCTTTGCGGAGCGGTCTGACTCCAACCTTGCTTTGCTTTGCTTGCATCACCTCTCCCAGTTCCCAATAAGGCAGCCTTGAACAGAAGAAAGCTGACGTGCGAAACCTGCACCATGAGACTCTCCAGTTAGATGCTCTCATCCTTTCCACCGCCCGCTAACATCTTCCCCAAAGAAGCAACACGTTTGGGGGACCCCCCAACATGGTGGTTTTCCTTTTGGTTTGCTCTTAAAGCCAGGTGCTGTTTCCCAGAAAGACAATTGAATCCTAATGTGAATCAGAACCACCCCTTCCTTTCTGTGCTTAGCTGCTGCTATGCGGGTGTGCACTGAGAGGCCATTTTTTTCCAACTGGTTTGTAAGAGTGACTGTTTGCGTTGTTTCTGTGTATACCTCGTAGGGTGTTGGGACAAGCCGTGCTTTTTTTCTCCTTTTTTTTCCCCCCTGTCGCGGCTATCTGCACTCCGCCAGGTTACGCAGTTCATGAACGTCACCAATGCCTCCCGCCTGGTGGCGAAGGACGGCGTCGGGGAGGTGTTTTAACTTGTGGGCAGGATGAGAAGCGAAGCGCAGCTTTCGTGTAAGTGGTGGTTTGGTTTGGTGGTTTGGCTTGGTTGGCGAACTTCTCCATTTGGTTTCAAAGAAGGAAGGGAGGGGGTTCGCTTTTGGGTCAAACGTGCCAAAAAACGGAGGGGGGGGGAACACAAAACACAAAGGGGGGTGCGCTTTTGCGGTAAACGGCCAACAAAAAAAGGAAGGGGAGGGGGGTCACCCAAAAAGCATGGTCAAAGTAGATGGCACAATTCCTGGCACTCCTGCTTCAGGTTTTGAAAGGAACTGGGGTTCAAGTCCCGAACCACCAATCCAAACCACCAATTGAGGGATATCCCGTGTCAATCTGAACTGGGGAGTCGAAGGAAACAAAGCTGTGCGCCATGGTCAACGTCCCAAGATGAAACTTGCCAGCTGTGTTGACTTTGAATGGGACTGAGTTCCTATGACATCTCCGCGGTGTCAATGTCGGATTTCTTGGTAAGCTCATGGCTTGCGAGCTTTTTGGGCGAGGTTCCTGTTTGTTTCTTCTTGTGGCTGCTATCCAGAAGCGGGGCGCGGCAGGCTGGATAGCACTGTCTCTTGGGTGTGCGGGTGCTTTTGTGATCCAGAGCAAAAGGCACTGCTGTTTCCAGGGTTTTGCGTTCTGGAAGGGCAAGTTTGTAGAAGTGACGCTGTCATGGTTTTAGTTCCATTTCTTGAAGCAACCCACGAGCTCTTGATTTGGGCCTGGTTCCTTGTTGGAAGCCAACGACAAGCCGATTTTCAGGGCAAGGTGAAAGGAAACAGCCCATTCCGGATTCGAATCCCTGTTTGTGTGGAAACACAGTTTTAAAACCCAAGGCTTTTACTTTTTACCACTGTCACTGACGCTGTTTGCAGTGCACATATACCGCATGAGTGAAGCCATTTGGGGTTTGCAAAGAAAAGGTTTCGGTTGGAGTTGAAGGGGAAGGCCACAAGAATCAGTGCCGTTCCCCAAGTTTTGGAAACAAAGGGCTGAGGCAGCCTCTTGGGAAAGCAATACCTTTAACACCTGGTTCGAGTTATATGACTCACGCCTCCTCGCTTCTAGAGAAAACAAGACCCCAAGCTACATGCAGGAGTTGTGCAACATGTGGGTGGTATTTTGAGGGAAACAGTTTGGAGATTTGAGCAGGGTGGTTTGAACATGGTGTTAACAAGTGGTTCAATCGCGCCCTCATGAAAACTGCTGGCAGGAATGTCTGGAGAGAAGCGGCTGGGATATGCACCAAGCTGTGATGCAGCAGAGTGCTCAGCATCTTTTTCATTTTTGTTCCTTCTTGTTTTTCTTTTTTTCCTCTCCTTTTCTTTTTTTCTTCTTCCTTGTTTCCTTTTTTTCTTCTTCTTCTTTGCTCTTTTTTTTCCCCTTCTTCTTCTCTTTTTTTTTCCCCTCATTTTTTGTAATTCAATTTTCCTCTTTTCTTTTTTCATTTTTTTTTCAGGGGGGGAGATTTGTTCGAATGGGTTTGTCCTCACAGGAAGTTGCTTACCATCTGGGCTGTTCAAGGCCATTGGGTTTGTCTCTAAATACTTCCAAATGGCGGGTTATTCCGGTGGTTTCCCTTTCAAACTACCCCAAAAAGGGAACCACCCACCAATTGACACATCCTAGCATTGGATGACAACAATTTTCCAGGGGAAGCCTGACAAATGCTTGGCGGCCACCAATCCGCATGCAAACGATTCCACCAAATGGTGGCCGAAACAGTGCCCTTGACAAGAGACGTGAGGTAACCTCAAAACGAAGTCGAAGTTTCGGAAGCCTCCGATGTAAGTAGTTCTCCCCTGCGGAAACGAGATCGTTTGTAGGGTCCTGGTTCCTGACAAATCCCTCCGAACCTGCAAATTCCCCTGGCTTGGGTGCACCAAGATGGGGGATTGGGGGAATTTTGCATCTCCTTGCAAGCCGCCGAGCTGCTTTTGAGGCATTTGGGGGCGGAAGGTAGTCTGACACTCAGAGACGGTGGTCATGCGGTGACAGGGGAGTCCGAATCAAAATCTGGGATGATGAATGTTGGTAAGGGACAGTCTTGCCGTAAATAGGTCCGCCCTCTCAAATGCCTCACAGGCTTTCGGGCCGACCACTTGAGTACCAGGTTTTGATTTGGACTCATGTATGGTAACTGTCGAAGGCCCCGACACAGGTCGATTTTCATTGTGCGCCCTTTGGTCAACATGATTTACGTGAGGATATGGGACCCCTGGAAGAGTGGACAGCACGATGTATTCACCACAGCATTCTCCTTGCACCAGATGGGTGCTCAGGCAGATATGCCTTTCTTGACTGGGGCAGCCTACTCAAACCAGGTTCAGCTCGATTTCCGCTGGGTTAAACATCACCCTGTGGAAGGCAATTTTTTCTTCGTGCCGGGGAGCAGCACGGAACACGCACCCCCAAGGACGATCGGTTGGTAAAGTTGACCCCTTGATTTCCTCCCAACAGGAAGTGCTTCACTTTTTTCGTCGCTGGTTGACATCCTTCCTTTGTAGAAAGTGGGTGATTGAGGTCAAAGTTGGTTTCCACCCCCAAACCAGCAGCCACAGGGGAAATGTCGGGTGCCCATGTTTCAGGTGGCAAGGCGTGGTGTACCTTTTGGTATTCGTCTTGGGGGTGGCTCCACCATCCATCTCCTGGCGAGTCGCAAGCGGGTTCTATCTCTACCGCTATTGGGTTGGATCTTTAGACTTCAACTTTTTGGATTCCCCTCATATGTCCTTTTCACCAGCAAATAGTTCGGCTTAGCCTAGCTATGTTTCCGCACGTGGCGATTGAGAGAGCCAAGTTTTTTTTTTCAAAAACAATGCTGGGGGATCTACACACGCGCCCCTCGTTTCTCTTCAGTGGACACGTGGGCTTAGGACCACGGGACGACAAGCCTGGATGGCCGCGGCCCCACACCGAAGCCGCGTGGTGTTTGATTCGGGAAAAGCGCGGCTCGGGTCCCGGAACCGGGCGCCGAAAAAGAAGAGACCCAAAAAGCGAAGCCCCACGGGGGCAAAAAACGAAACGCCAACTCCCGGTAGCCAAAAGCAAATAAATAAATAAACATATAGAATAAAATAAAATAAATAAATAAATTCATAACTACATAAATAAATAAACGAATAAGAAAGTAAGTAAATAAATAAATATATAGAATATAAGTAATAAACATATATGTATACATATGTGATCCGGGTGTCTTCTGTGCACTTAGAAAAAAAAGCAAAGCACGGCGGCAAAGACCAACTCCCGGTCCTAGCAAAAACAGGTTAAACACCAAGCTGTTAGGCAAAGCTGTTTGCAGGACCTGGACGGGACGCTGAGAAACTGAAAAGCTAAAGATCCGAGCCCGAGAGCTGAAAAGCTGAGAAGAAGCTAGACAGCCAGGAGAAAAGATCAACCTCAAAGAACGTCTGCTTTTGGTGCCTTCGCATTCTGCTTTTTGGGCGTAAATCTCGCCTCCCTGAAGCGGCGAACCTGGGAACCCCGAAGCATGACTCGGGGATCAGCCTCTGCTTTGGTTTCGCATCTCCAAAGGAGATTTTCAGGACAGAGCGCAAGTCCAGGGTCGACCAGGTGGTGTCCATCTCGAAGGCCGGACCTCGGCCTTTGAGAGGGTTCTTCCGGTTCGGGATTTCGAAGGGTAGGTTCCGTTGGTGGAGGGTAGGAGCTTAGAAGAGCCTTTTGAAGAGGACGGGTTTTAATTGGTCCAAACCAAGCTGAAAGCAAACCACACTGACCTCGAAGCAGTTGAGGACCAGTCAGACCAGGGTATCCAAGAGATTGCGATGTAAAGTTGGCATGTTTCTTTCGTTCTTGCAAACTCGCCTTTGGCTGGCCGCCAGGTGAGCGAGAGACAAGCTGAGGAGCTTCTAGAGTCCTCGCCTGAGAAGACATGGTGTGACATTTCACCAAAGTTTACCAGACAATTTGCCTAAAGATAGGGTGTGGCTGGCTTTACTTGCAATGCTCATCTCACTCTGCATCAATCATTGGCAAGGCCCTTTGCTTTGGCACGTGGCCTCGGCATCAACGAGTGCATTTTTGCCGCTTGCTCCGAGCGCGATTTGGCTGAGACATTCGGTCGGGCAGCCGGCAGCCGGCAGCATGGCGATTGAGCAGCAGACCTATGAGGAGCTGCAGCGGGATGAGGAGCAAGGACTGATTCCAACGGAGGTGAGCGCCAAGAGCACCCGGACTTGGCTGGTCCACGGGGTGGCTGGCGCCCTTTTGCTTAGCGCCGCTTTGCTGGCTGCGCTGTACCGGCCCGTGTTCCTGAAGGCGCCAGTCCAGCTCGCAGAGGAGAAGTTTGCTACTACGGTCTTGGCCTGTGAAGAGGGTCACATGCACCAGTGCCCCTCCGAATGGAAAGACAAAGGCAATGCTGGCGGCTACCACTGCCTCCACAAGTTGGCGCGCCAGACGTCCGAAGCAGCCTACCAGAGCTCCGGCGGTGCCTGCCGTCCAGCAAAGGATGGCCCCTTCCCTTCTGCCGATTGCCACGTCCAATGCGGCATTGGCAGAGCAGGCACCTCGGGCAGCGGATCTGGAGGCTCGCCAAAGCCGGGTGATGCGCACTACCACTGGCACAGCGGATCTGGAGGTCACTACCACTGGCACAGCGGATCTGGAGGCTCGCCAATTCCGGGTGACGCTCACTACCACTGGCACAGCGGATCTGGAGGCTCGCCAATTCCGAGTGACGCTCACTACCACTGGCACAGCGGATCTGGAGGCTCGCCAATTTCGGGTGACGCTCACTACCACTGGCACAGCGGATCTGGAGGCTCGCCAATTCCGGGTGATGCTGACTACCACTGGCACAGCGGATCTGGAGGCTCGCCAATTTCAGGTGATTCTCACTACCACTGGTACAGTGGATCTGGAGGCTCGCCAATTCCGGGTGATGCTCACTACCACTGGCACAGCGGATCTGGAGGCTCGCCAATTCTGGATGCTCAAGCCAGTGACTACGACTGGCACAGCGGATCTGGAGGCTCGCCAATTCTGGATGATAATGCTGGTGACTACGACTGGCACAGCGGATCTGGAGGCTCGCCAATTCAGGATGACGATGCGGGCAACTACGACTGGCACAGCGGATCTGGAGGCTCGCCAATCCTGGATGATCAAGCGGGTGACTATGGCGGCGATGCTCACTACGACTCTGGCAGCGGATCTGGAGGCTCGCCAATCCTGGATGATCAAGCGGGTGACTTTGGCGGCGATGCTCACTACGACTGGCACAGCGGATCTGGAGGCTCGCCAATCCTGGATGATCAAGCGGGTGACTATGGCGGCGATGCTCACTACGACTCTGGCAGCGGATCTGGAGACTCGCCAATCCTGGATGATCAAGCGGGTGACTATGGCGGCGATGCTCACTACGACTCTGGCAGCGGATCTGGAGGCTCGCCAATCCTGGATGATCAAGCGGGTGACTATGGCGGCGATGCTCACTACGACTCTGGCAGCGGATCTGGAGGCTCGCCAATCCTGGATGATCAAGCGGGTGACTATGGCGGCGATGCTCACTATGACTGGCACAGCGGATCTGGAGGCTCGCCAATCCTGGATGATCAAGCGGGTGACTATGGCGGCGATGCTCACTATGACTGGCACAGCGGATCTGGAGGCTCGCCAATTCCAGATGATGCTCACCACCACTGGCACAGCGGATCTGGAGGCTCGCCAATTCCGGGTGATGCTCACTACCACTGGCACAGCGGATCTGGAGGCTCGCCAATTCCGGGTGATGCTCACTACCACTGGCACAGTGGATCTGGAGGCTCGCCAATTTCGGGTGATTCTCACTACCACTGGCACAGCGGATCTGGAGGCTCGCCAATTCCGGGTGATGCTCACTACCACTGGCACAGCGGCTCTGGAGGCTCGCCAATTTCGGGTGATTCTCACTACCACTGGCACAGCGGCTCTGGAGGCTCGCCAATTCTGGATGATCATGCAGGTGACTTTGGGCATTCTCACCACCACTGGCATTCTGGCGGCTCCGGTTCCTGGCATGGATCGGGTGGCTCCTGGCATGGATCGGGAGGCTCCGGATCCTGGCACGGATCGGGCGGTGGCTCCTGGCATGGATCGGGCGGCTCCGGTTCTGGATCAAGTGGCGGCTCTGGCTCGCACGGATCGGGTGGATCCAGCAGTTCCTCGGGGCACAGCTTTTCTTGCCCCGAGGGCCACGTGCACCAGTGCCCTGCCGAATGGAAACAGGAAGGCAATGCTGGCGGCTACCACTGCCTGCACAAGTTGGCTCGCCAGACGTCCCAAGCAGCCTACGAGAGCTCCGGTGGTGCCTGCCGCCCAGCAAAGGATGGCCCCTTCCCTGTCGCAGACTGCCAAGTTCAGTGCGGCATCGGTGCGGCTGGCAAGAAGGTTCCCCTGCTGAAGAAGAAGTGAGCACCTTCTGACCCCCGAAAGGTGTCATCAGCTTGCTCGACGGTTCGATTAGAACGATTGGACTGCCTTGTTTCTTGCAAGCCTTTCTAATTTGAGCAGAGACAGACAGAGGCCTCTGCAGCACTGCCAGCAGTTTCAACTGTGCAAAGAGCACATTTGGACATCCCCTGCGTGTCTGAAAAGATGCTGTTCGAGCGTCACGTGGAGCTCTGGCATGGCTGTCGAGCTATTTTCGGGCAACACGTCCAGTCTACGAGTAACTTGAGACCCCCAATATCAGCCACAAAGTCAGGAGAACCGTCAGGCCCAACTTTCTTTTGAAGATTTGTTGGCGGTATCTTGTCTCTCGGAGGGATCCAATCCAGCATGGGTGCAACTTGCCTTTTGCTTTATGAGAAAATCCCAGGACGCCCTTTGGGTCCCGAAAATGACACACTTTGGAGAGCCGACAACTCTGACGTGGGACTTTGACATGGGAGTGAACAGCCCCCCCGACGTGGGAAGTTGGACCCAGGCCGAAGATTTTCCGCCGGGCTCGACTTGTCGTCTTGGTGGCTCGCAGCCATCCGGTTCCTTTGCTTTTTAGATACTTTTGGTTGTTTTGGTGGTTAGATTGTCATTTCAGCCACTCAAACATATTCACTTTCAGCAAGAGATGGCTGTGGGTCAAAACCAATGCTACCATTTGGGGCAGGTTCACCACCCATTTTAGAACCTATCTTAGTGGTTGGATTGAATCGGATGTTCACTGCGGGTACGGGCTTTGGATTTTGACCCGTGGCCATTTGCTAGAACCCATGGGTCACCCAAAGTGGTGTTTTGACCCATACCTTCCATTTGCTTAATAGCATTTCTTTTAATGTTCCCTTGTTGGTTTTAGGATATCTGAAAATTCGCAGCCCAGTTTTCGACAGGAAGTGCCAGTGGAACGTGGAAGCGGCCCTCGAGAAGTTCTTCACCGAGACCCCGAGCGCCGCGGCTGGAAGATCTTCCGCCCAGGGCTCTAAACCCTAAACCCTGAACCCTGAACTTGTTTTTTCTCCTTTTTTTTTTTCTTCTTCTTTTTTTTCCCATTTTTGTTTTCAAGTCGTGTTTCCGTTTTTTTCCCGTTTTTTGTTAAACAACATGTTTGGATTGTGTTTGGTTGGTAGTGGGAAACCAAAAGGAAGGAAGCCAACCCTTGGTGAAAACCAAAGGCCTGTCCTTGCAAGGAAAGCTCGATTTCCCGTTTGACGTCACCGCCACCCAAACGACCCCCCCCAAGAAAAATCAATGGAAGGTTTACTAATCAGATGGCTGTGGGTCAAAACCAATGGTACCATTTTGGGCTAGGTGCACCTCCATTTTAGAACCTATCTTAGTGGTTGGATTGGGATTTGAAAAGCCCATGGCCAGATGTCAACATTGGTTGCAGTTACTAGATGCTTCCGGCTCCTTGGACTCACGCTTTTTGGGCTGAGGTTGTGGCTGCGACTCAAATACCGTTACTCTGACTTTTTACTGGGAAACATGTATCCACCAAGGGTCCAAACAGACGAGAACAAATAAGATGCCCCTATGTGACACGTCTTTTGCGATGCCCGTGCATTTTTTTTTGCGGGAAGCCACAACTTCACTGTTCTTGTGAAGAAAGTGGTTTTCTGGTGTCTTGTGGAATTGGCACCCCTTTTTGGGTTTTCCGGCTAAGAGGAAAGCCGATGCCCTTGCCTATGTCTTTTGTGATCCCTTTCGGCGCTTTGCGGGAAACCACAAAGGAGCCGTTTTTTTTTTTCTCGCCCAAACTTCTAGGGGTTGATTCCTTTGCCATTCTTTTGAAGCATCGTTCTTTTTAATACCCAGCCGTTTCCCGGGGTTTCTGAAGGTTTTCTAGAGAGAAGGATTCCTGGAAAGAATGGGGAAGGTCCCATTAGATTGTGTATTCATTTTTTTTCTCCAAAAGTGGTGTGAATCCCCACCAAAACCAGGGTCACCCCCATATTCATAAACAGGGGAACATGGCTTTTTGCACCAAATTCAAGGGACACCACCATTTACAAGTTGCACTGTTCAGGTGTATTCACTGTAAGGATCCCTGATTAATCTAGAACTCACTTGCCCAAAGCGAATCGACCTTTTGACCTTTCGCTTTTCCCATCTCGGGTTCCTATTTTTAGTGAAGGTCCCAAAAGGTGATCACCGTTTATTTCCAGGTGCCTAAGGGGCTTCCAACCTTTTCTTCACCTTGTCTCCTCTCACCTTATTTCCAGGTCTTTTGGGCAAGTGAGATTCAGAAAGCATGGGGCAGGAAGGTGCCCCTCGGAAGCCGGGCTCCGGGCTCGCTCGAGTCAACTTCCCAGGTGCTCCGAAGCCCAAGCCCAGCGGGCCCAGCGCCGCGCCCAAGGCGCGCGCCGGGCGCGCCGGGAGCCCCAGGACTCGTGACGGTTCGCGGTGGTGGAAGCCCAAAATGGTGGGGGGTGGTGCATTGGAAAAAGTGAGATGGAACCGCCCAAGCCATGTTTCTGTTGTTTTTGTTTTCGTTTTTCGGTTTTCGTTTTTTTTTCTCCCCCGTTTTGTTAGTTGCTTTGTTTCCATCTCTGATTATTCGGCCTTTGTGGGGTTCTCAAGTTTTGTTTTTGGAGGGTTTCTCTTTGAACAACCATTTGGAGGATAAATTGAAGATGTCAGTGTAGCGAATTCAGAAACATGGAGGGGATAAACCCTGATTTCCTGTTGCAAGAAAGCAATCAATCTGCAAATTCTATCTAGCTGGGGGGGCGGGGGTACCGAGCTCACACATGAAGGCTCCTTTTGTGGCATCTCTGAATTCCAGTGGGGAATTCTTGTGCTTTGCCCAGAAGCATCCAACATGGGGGTGCCGAAAACCCTTTTTGACAAGAGATGCAGACACACGCACACAGACTCGCTCTCGATTTGGGGGACCCTTCAATCCGGGGTTTATCCACGCCCATTTCGGCGTTTCTTGACAGGTCTTTGCTCCTTTCCATTTCCACGGGCTGGTCCCTCGCTGGCAAAACCCATGGGGCAAAACCCATGGAGGGTCCACATAAAATCGAGCTTTGCGGCTGAAGCTTCGGGGGCCGTGAAATCAATCCTCCAGATGGATGACCGTGGTTCCCGGTGTTCGCTTGGAAAAATTGGATGGGAGGGTTGTCAGGTTTTTCCGTTTTCCGTGACACCAAAGGAATCCCTTGCAGAGTGATACAGAGTCATGGGAATGAGAATCTCACTGACAGGGGAATTTCCGCAAGGTCGCCCTTTGTTGCTTTGCGGAGTGGCACCCGACAAGCCGGGTTTCCCAAAAGCAGCTTCCGGTGAAACGGGCTCATTTTGGTGGTTCCATCTATGAGAAGCTTCCCAAGTTTCTGGAAGTGTAGACCATCACATAGAGCCCAAGAAGGTTGATCCTCAAAAAGAGGGTTTCTCAGGATAAAAAAACAAGAGCAAGAGACAGAGAAGAACCACAGCACAGGAATTTCTCGGTTCCATGTTCTGTGCACTTCACTCCCTGACTGCTGTAAGGCTCCGACGCCTAGCTCCTCAAGCGGCTGGGCGCTCGGCGGATGGCTGCGGATCCGTTTGGTTGAAGGGCATTCTGCGATGCTGTTCAACAAATGAGTTCCTGCACGTTACTTTTTGATAAGACCACGTCAGTGAAAGACGTTGCTTCTATTGATAAAGTTTACTACAACTGCCAGAGCTTTTGTTGGTTGAAATGTGGAGAACATCTGGATTTCCAGCGGTAACTACCTCCTTTTTTGGTCGATTCCCAATGTTCCTGCGGGTCTGACAGTTTCTACGCTGCTTGAGTTACGCTTTCGAAGGGATGAACTTGTTTGGGCAAGCTAGATCGCTGCAAGCTTGGTTTTTGCGACCTATTTCGTCTATGGAGGTCCTTCCGTTTTTTCTTGCAGGCACCCACACGGGTTGATTCTCCCCATTCTTCGGTTTTTTGGGCGATATGATCCTTGAAAGGAGTCTCACTCCCTGAGTTTCCTGTTGGCCAATGAACCTCCAAGCGAGGAAACGGAGTGGACGGCTTGGGCGATTCACCGCGCAGGTTCTGAGGAGTCTGATTCAGAATCTGAAGAGGCGGGGCATTTTTTGGAACCCCCCCCATAGAAAGTTGGCCCATTGGTCAAATTAGTTCCTTCTTCTTGGTGTCGGGATTCTAGCAAGGGCCTTTGCTTAAACCTTTATAGCCTGCGTTCCCTTCCAACAAAACCTGAAACTAGTACCGTCTCCCGTTCTGAGACTGAGCACAGAGATCTCACCGTTGCTGGAGGCCCTTTGCTTATTTCTGGTGTTTGAGACCCTTTTGAGCTGCCAGGAGAGGGAAGCTGGTGGTAAAGGCGCGGGGTGCGGGCGGTACTGCTTTTCATGCTAGCTGGAGTTTCTCTGGCTGCAAGTGGGGTCAGTGATTCTCAGAATGCCGTGATTTTTGCACCCCTCCCCCCTTTGATTCGCCCTTGTCTCCACGCTTAGCTCTTTGCTCTGCTCTTCTCCGCTCTTTTGCCGAGTCGTCCCTCTTCTCTTTGCTCTTCTCTCTGCTCTTCTCTCTGCTCTTCTCTCCGCTCATCTGCCCACTATTTGCATCGCTCTTCTCTCCGCAGTCTTCGCTCCACTCCAACTTACGCGCGCAGTGTTGCACTCCGTCCTGTGCAGGGCTCCTTAAAAGATACATTTTGCCCAGTTGAAACATGGCCTTTTCCACCAAATTAAAGGGACACCACCATTTAACAGGCAATGTTCAGGTGTATAATGTAAGGATCCCTGCTGCGTTTTGCGCATTCTTCCCTGAGCTCGCTTTTCGCCCTCCGGGCTTTTCGAGTGCTTTGGCCATTGCTCTCTTCGTCTCGTCCATTTTTTCCCTGTCAACCCCAAACAGTGAGCTTCGAGCTACCTTTGACCAAGCTGGACGGTTGCATCTGCAGTTTCCCTGGCCTCGAGTTGAGGGAACGCGCCTTCTTGTTCCCAAATTCGGCGTTGCTCAAGATGAAAGTGTTGCTCAAGCAGGTTTTTGTCTTTGGTTCCATTTGCCACGGTGCCAGTTTGGTACATTTTGAGCCACAGGCCAATGACTCTTGAGGATTTGCAAAGGTCTGGTCCCCACAGCTTCAGGAGGAGGAAAAGCCGGCTGGCCACAAAGCAATGGCAAAGGCTGGGAGAGCTGCTTGGCCGAAGCTCAAATCAAAGCTTGGGCAGATGAACCCATTTGAGCCATGAAAACCTGACAACATCGTTTAGGGGAGAGTAGCAAACCACAAAGCCTAAAGGCCCTTTTGTTGGATGTTGCGTGGAGTCCACCACGGGGTTGACATCGACTGCACTAGTCTGCTTCGAAACCTGGTGCCCCCCGAACAATGGCTGGTTTCCCATGTCCCCGACAACTCTGAAAAAGAGGGGTCGGGTTCCCTCAGCGAAAACAACACGACACTCCCAAAAAGGGAACCCGGTCGGGAGGGGCTCGGGGAACAAGGATTTTCGCACAACAGGGACAAAAGGGACAAAAGAGACATACAAGTGTGTCTTGTTTTGAGGACACGCCGTTCAGTTCTATGTTTTGAAGGCAGCCAGACATTGTTTTGTTTCTGCTATTTGTTACTATGCTGATCGACGAGTTTCCTATGTGGTTGGTGGGGTGGGTTTTAAAGGAGCCACATGTGCGTGGTCGCAGCAATCGCTTGGCGTCGCTGGGGATGGTCATGGAAGTGTTGCTCGCAAAAAACGCCGTGACCATAGCCCGTATAATTAGTATTGACCATGGCACATATCTTTGGTGCATTTTGCCAAGGGATGTTAGGACTTTAACTTTTTGCCAACTAATGGGTTTTCCATTAATTAAGCCGCTAAAGGTTAAACTTTTAGCAGAGCAGATTTCGCAACCGAGATATGTGTCTGGGGAAGCACCTTGAGAAATAGATGCCGCTGAAATGTGAGACAAATGCACCGTGCCACGCACGCACCGGTTTGCATCCGGAAGGCTGCGCGGAAGGGGTCTTTTTCGAAGGTTTGTGGAAGTTCTGCGGCGTTCGATATGAACTGTTTTAGTTTGTCATGGAAAAGCACGGAGAAACGATTGCAGTAGAAGCAGACAGGTGCTTCTGCGGCCAAGAAACTCTACGCTTGCTGGAAAAGCAGTTGCCAACAGCAAGCCACGAGGGCCAACAAATTTCCGGCGGATGTTGCGGAAGCTTCGCGGAAGCTCCGGTGGCCCTAAAGCAAATGCCAAGGAAAAAATGCGGAAGCAAACGATGAAAAGCACGTGCCGTCGAAGTCTGCGGAAGGGTCGGCGGAAGCTTGAATGTCCAATCAAGTTTGAGGGGAAGAAACACCAACGCTGAAATGGGTGGTTGGCTTTTAGCTTCCCTTTAGAAGACAATCCTAGAAAGACATGCCCTCAAACAAAGACACAAACCCATTTGAGGGAAACAGACACCAACCGTCGCACCTAGGCGCTGCCGCCTGGCCAGGCTCGTAGGGTGTTCATGGGTTTAGTGGTTGAGGTTTCCGAATTTGACCAGTGCTTCACTTTTGGTAGGGGAATTGAGGGCATGTGTTCCTTCGTCGGTTTGGTTGGGGTAGACCCGAATTTGACTGCCACCAGGTGGGCTTTTAGATCTTTTCGTTGGTTTAATTGGTTGGGGTAGACCCGAGTTTGACTGCCACCGGTTCTTCCGAATGTTCGCAGGAGGCGACAACGGAGCCGGGGGCTGGCCGAGTGTCAGGGGCTCGAAGATGGAGGGGATGGGTTGCTTTCTGGCCTGGTAAAACGAAGACACCATGATGTGACATATATATATATATATATGTATATATGAACCATATATATGTACACACACACATTTTTGTATTGATTTCGGGATCCCTCAATTTCATGTTTTGGATTGATTTCGTTATTGTTGCAGAGCAAGGCAGCTGTGTCCGAAAAGGCGGCAAGATGTCCGCAATGTAACTTTGTAGAGCGGAGACCTGGCCTTGAGCTTTCATGCTTGGAATTTTTCAAAGCGGTCCGAGGACACAAATCCAACCGTGCAACCGATGTCCAAGGGGATTTCCATGAAGCTTCTGCTTTTGGATTCAATGCCAGCGGAAGCATCCCCTCAGTCCTCAGTGCACGAAGGGGAGATGGTCAACAGTCTTTTTCATGCTTTTGGTGTGTGTGTGTGTGCGTGCGTGCGTGCGTGCGTGCGTGCGTGCGTGCGTGCGTGCGTGCGTGCGTGCGTGTGTGCGGGCGGGCGGGCGGGCGGGCGGGCGGGAGGGCGCGTGCGTGCGTGAGTGCGTGTGTGTGTGTGTGTGTGTGTGTGTGTGTGCGCATATCTCTTTCAGAGACGCACCCAGCTGAAATCAGACCAAGAGCCGGGGTTTGTAGGGACGGAGGAAAAGGACACCAACGAACCCAAAGGCTCATGACGGCCGCCTCAAAACCGAGGCAGGGCCGGCCCAAGCGCCGCCATCCCAAGCGCCGCCATCCCAAGCGCCGTCAGCTCAGTGCGCACGGCCTCGGCTCTGGGAGACCCGAGAAAACGGGGCGGCAATTCTGTGGTTTCCCCTTGGCTGAGAGGCTCCCCTTAGAATGAAAAGGAGGTTGTACAAAAACAAGTTTGTGTTTAAACCTGCATGCTACAGGGAGTTGGCCTGTTCGCCTGTTCCTCAATCAACCAGCTCACCTTCATGTGGACTGGTTGTGCGTGTGTGACATGGAGCCAGTAGAGTGGGCAAGCTGTGCATCCCGAGTTGGCTATTGAACTTTGGAACACTCTCCGTAAAGGTTGGCAGTTATGTTGGACATGACTTCCACCAGAAGTGGCTTCGGTTTTCTTCTCAGTTCCGCTGTGAAACCAGGCCAAAAAGGGTACCCTCACAAAAGACACGCCGAACCCTCCAAAAAAAAGAGACGCCATTTCGGGGCAAACCAAGTTTGTTGCTTCTTGGCCAATCCACTCAGAGCAAAAAGTGGATGGGAGTTCTTGATTTCTTTGCGCTCAGAACCATCCGCATTTGCACTTGCAGCGTCGGTCTGCCCGAGGTTATGTTAGAACCATTATCCAGCATCCAGGTTTTTCCAGCATCCAGGTATATCCAGGGCTCTGCCTATCTTAAGACCTGGGTTCTGCACAAACCTTCGCAAACCGTAGAAGGCTTGGCCGCTCGGACGTGTGGCTTTGGGCATCCTTCAGGTCCGGATGGCCGAGCAAAGGCGGGCGAGGGTCTGGTTGCAGAGTGGGCGAGTCTGTACTTTTACTTTTTTTTTTGTTTAAATAACATATTACGGGAGCTTTGTGGTGTTTTTGTTTTGGAAGGGAGACCAGCAGGAAGCCACCCTGTAGCTTCCCTCATTTTGCGACAAGCCCAACCGGAAGCCACGCTTCCCTCATTTTGCGAGACACCCAACAGGAAGCCACCCTGTAGCTTCCCTCACTTTGCGAGAAACCCAAGTGACCTTGGGTGATTCCATCCGAGACCCCAAAACCTTCGGACAAGCAACGAAGATTTACGACGGTTTCGCTCTGCATTTTCCCAGCCCGGTGCGCAGGTGCATCGGGCTTCGGCAAGGGCTCGGCGGGCTTAGGACAGCAGAGAAGCGAGAGCAACCTTTTGGTTGCCTTCTGGTCGGTTTCCTTTTGGTTTGGTAGGGTGGAAATTGGACACCTTTGACAGGGCTCTTTAAAAGATGCATTTTTCCCATGTGAACATGGCTTTTTCCACCAAAACAAGGGGAAACCACCATTTACAAGGCAATGTTCAGGTGCACAATGCAAGGATCCCTTTTTGAGGCGAAACTGAGCAAAGAGCATGATCTGGACGCCTTGCAAACTTCCCCGAGAAACTTTGACCCAAATCCTCGGATGCACTGTCCGGTCCTTCTTGGAGCTGGTGCTCTTGTCGGGTTGGAATGAAAGGACAGCCAGGCAGGAGGGTCTTTTGCCGTAAAACCAAGCACAGCAAGGCTTGATCGTGCAAACAGTCGTTTCACCCTCGTCCTTTCGAGAGGTCTCCATCCCTAGGTTCTCAACATCCCTGAGAATGGAATCGCAGAGTGTCTTCGGCGCAACCAATTGGCTTGACATGCCGGGCGCAGGACCGGCCCCGGACAGCTTTGGCTCGGTGCAAGCCGGCACGTTGCGGGCTGGGGGTTTGGACAAATAGGGGGTGTTCGTTTTTTGGGGATGCCCTTCACTTTTTGTGTCTGGCCCTTCACTTTGCGTGTCTCTGTGATTTTGCTGAGCTTGTTAGCTTGAAATTGACACTGCTCGGAGAGCTTTGGTTGGTTTCCGTTTGGTTCCCCTTCCAAGCTATCCAAAACGATCTTAAGTCGAGTGAGTCGAGGCAACGCACACGAGAACGGTCAGCACCATCCCTCAAAGAGAAGTTTCGCAAGGCTGCTCTTACTCCAATGTCCATCTTTAGGAGCGGAAGGCCAACCCCAAAAATGAGTGGTGTTCCTTTTCTTTCAGCTGTAAACCAACCCAGGAGCCAGCTATAAAAAGACAAGCCCACATCTCGGGGGAGCATGCGTGAGCTCAAGTCTTCCCTCCGAGTGCACCTCGACTTCGCCACAATCAAAACAGAGGTTGGAGGCCGGTAGGGGTTCGACCATCAGAAACCGTTTTGGCGCCAACTCGCGTCTTGGGGCTTGCCTGGGTTTTGGGGGGTGGGTCTCCGCGTCTTCTCCCGGATGGGTGCTGATTGGATTTCCTTTTGGCCAGGCACCTGGCTGGGGCTCCAGGCCGGGCTTGCGCAAATTGCGCAAAGCTTCAGGAGTCAGCTGGCTGCGGCTCGAAACTTTTCAGACCGAGGGCAAACCGCAGAAATCTTAAGTCTTGGTTTCCATTCAAGGTCCCCCAGCAATTGGTGCCGTTTCTTTTACTGTTTCTTTTTTGGTTGGGAGGATTCCGCTACTAAAATAGACTACAGAAAAAGGGTACCCTTATTCTACCCTTTTTTTCTGGAGGACCTAGCATTTGCCATTTTGGGGATTCCCCATTTTTTTGAGAGCCACAGATAGATGTGTTTGTTTTGGAGGGTGCCCTTCCGAAGATGGCATCTGTAAAAAACAGTACCTGACATCCAAGAGTTCCCCTGTCAGGTGCCAGGTTAATGGGTTAATGGGGGAGAGGGTACCGTGGGGGCTGTTGCCTGATGGGGAACCTGCATAAAATCCTCACCCCTTATTCTTTTTCGGAACGACATGTGCAACTCTCTGGAGACTCAAGGCTGATTTTTCACTAAACTTTTTGTGTACCACCAGCACAAAGAAGTGCAACATCTTCATCTCAGGAAGTGAGAAGTAGGCTCTCATGAGCACGAGCTCAGCTTCGCCGAAGCCGCAGGGACACCGGCTTCGGCGCGGAAGCCTCGGGCTTTGCGGCTTGGACGCATTGGGGTCGCCAGTTTTTTGAGTCCACCTGAGGCCATGGGGCGAAATCCGAAGGACCTCGGAGGCTCCTTTCACCATGGTCCCATGATTTTTCAGTCAGTGGCCGCCCTACAAAAAAGAAGCGAGCTGCACAAAAATGTGAGCTAAAATCCAATACTGTTCTTCCTGACTCGCCAAAATCCAAGCGTCGGCGTGTTTTTGTAGTTGTTTGCATGGGCCGAGGCTGGAGCTGGAGGCAGGAAGGTTGGTGCGAGAGGTGTTGGCTTTGGTGTCAGACGCACTGCGATGCTCAGACGTGGCTCTGGTTGCTTCCAAGTATCCAGGTCATTGCAACGGTGATTCAGACCGTTGGTTCTGTGTGTCCATAGAGGCGATACCAGCCACCTGAACCCCAAACCGGCGGCCTGTGGTGAGCTCGCCTGAGTGTCTTTTTGAATGAGCGAAAACCGATCTGGGTTCAAAAGCGCCGCTTCGAAGCCAAGAGAAACCATGGTTTGTTGGTGTGTACAGGGAATCATCATTCCAGGCATTCTTAGGTGGTGCAGGATTTCGTCTATCCACAGTATGAAGGTCTTTTGGGCATGGACGGATTGAGGCGCAGGAGGCAACCCCTTCGGCGGCGGCGGTGGCGGCGGCGGCGGCGGATTCGGCGGCGGATTCGGCAGCCAGGCCGGAAGGGCGGCAACTGGAAGAAGAACTCTCTCGTTTTTTTGGTACGCGAATGTGTCTGTTTCAACTGGGGTCATTGTTTTGACGTTTCTGGGGTTATCAGAGTCCGAAAATGGGGTTGTTTCCCTTTAACCCACCACTTAGGGGGTGCCTTTGATCATGGTAAAATAATGAGGCCAGTTCAAATGGTGCCCTTTTTGGGGTGGTTTTCAAGGGAAACCAAAAGAAAAACCACCCATTTTGTGGTCACATATTTTTTTTGAGACGAACCCATGTGATGTTTAGCCCTGAGCTGGGAACGAACATTGCGAGAAGGAATGACCCCCCCCCCCAAACTAAGCAGATCACAACTTGGATGTGGCTAAACAAATGAAATCCCCAACACGGCCCCTTGGTAAATCGAAAGAAAGAATAAAACCCGCGGTTGCCCTAGCTCACGAATTTTGAGCCACACCATTCTAGACAAAGTCCAATGGGTCCTGGGCTATATATTGCCTAAATCGTGTGTAGGGGGTATGCAAGTGGGACACATTTTCCGGGTCCATTCACACGAGGCCGTTAGATTTCGCCTCGACCCATGCCTTGGTCAGCGAGCTTTTGAGGGCCGCGCATCAACGCAGCAGGCACCCCGAGCACCATTTGGAGGCAGGGCTTCCCCTTCCACGGCCGGATCGTTGGAGGGTTTGGTTCATAAGCCTTCAATTTTTATTCGCTGTTTCTTTTGGAGTTTCCCAACAAAATGCGCCACGAAGGCAAACATACATCCTCTTTCATGCCAGGGTTTCATTTTGGAACACAATCCTGCAAGCTCCGGGCAGGTGGGAGGGTTCCAGGCAATGATTGTTGGCCGATGGGGGATACTTCTCTGGCTTGATGGGTACATGGTGGAACCACGGAGCCAGTGTTACTTTTGCCTATTTGAAGATTCAAAGTGCTTCAAGTGCTTCGCGCGCTTGACGTGCTTCAAGGTCTTCGCACGCCTGCTATGTACGTGAGAACGGCGCGGGTCTTCACTTCTCATTTATTGAGGTGCTGCTGTGTCCAGTATCTCCAGCGATGTAAGCAGAGAAACATGCAGCACATTGCAAGAGATCATCTTGTTCTCGTTCAGCTTCTTGAATGAATGTTTGGGAGGCATAGTCTTCTTCTTTTTTTTTTTTTGGGGGGGGGGATGGAATGCGTTTCGCCGCAATTGTTTCTCCCTGTGGACAAAACCCGCCTTCGGCCCCGGCGGACTCGATGTGAGCCAGGCGCTCAGGGCTTCAAGGGCGCTGGATCTCAAGGACCGAAGTCCGTGGCTCGTCGGTTTTTCGGAGGTCGCCCTGTTGTTGGTAGGGAAGCCAAGAGAACCAACATTTTGACCCCCCCGAAAGGCATGCACAAAAGCCGTATGCGTCATGTTCTTTTTGGGTGGTGCTTGATTAAGCCGGGAAAGGCCGACCAAGTCTCGTGGGTGAGGCAATGTCATTCTAGCCTCCCAACATGATGAGAGTCTTATACCTCAAACTATATATATATATATGTATATGTATATATATAGGGAGACATATATATATATATATATAGATCAGACAACTTGTCCCTCCCCCTGTTGTCTTGGAACCCGGAGATCTTTGGAAGGCAATTTTCCTGGCCATGGCCCTCCACAATGGGCCAGTCTGTTTTTTTTTTTGAGGAGCAGCCTTCTTGGGATTGCTTTAAGGGGAAACCACAAGGCAACCACTGGTTTGGTGGGTTCCCAACTTTGAGGCAAACCCAAGTGGCTTTCCTTCCAACCCAAGAGCCACTCCTATTTGCTCGAAGCCTTCGACGATTTCCCTCAGGACCAGCTCCCGGAGATGCCTTTGGCTCCGTGCTCTCGGCATGTGGGTGAAGCGCGTCCTCAAAACGGATTTGGGTGAGGGGAAGTCCCCGGCGGGCTGCGGATATGCGCCCTGGCGCTTGGTTTCCGGCCATCCCTTTGGGTTGAAACGCTTTTTAGTGTTTGGTGGGAAGTTTCATTTAACTGCCCTAAACGATTTTCTTTTAGCGGATCTGAAAACGGACAGCCCATTGTCTACCATGGGATTTGGGCAGGTCCACCCTGCCAGGTTTTGGATGACTCAGGTTGCTCCTTTGGCTTTTCCAGTGGAAAACGCTTAGTGCAAGGGTAGAAATTACTAGGCACCACTCGTCTACCTCACCTTTTTGTTGCTTTTATTTGGTTTACTTCGCTGAACGGTTTCCCTTGGTTTCCTTTGTCAGCTGGCCATTTTCTGCAAGCCTGTGGGGTGTCTCAAGGCGTTTGAAGTCGCGCCCAGGTTTAGCATGAAAGGGAGGCCACCAGTTGATCACGGAGCCTTGATCATTTGAACCGGGAGGTTCGGTTTGGTTCAAGCTGGGGATTCCTTCATTTGCTCTTACCAGAAATTAGCAGGTGTGTCTCTTTTCGGGGAATTCCCCGACCTGTGCGTTTTGGCCAGGCGATTTTCTGGTCGCATCCAAGCCTCTCTAGCGTATGGTATGCTGTCTGTTTTCGATCGGCCGGTGAACAAACAGGAGAGTCGACCTTCATGGACCTATTCCCTCCAAAACGACGAGCCTCGTACGATGTGATCTGAATGCAGGGTTGTCTGGCTGAGCCATGGAAGCCTGCCATGCAGTTTACGCTCAGAGGTCCTGTTTCACGTTGATTTATTCAGCATCTGCAGCGGGAAGAAAGGCAATACCTCGAACAGCTCCCATGAACCTGAGGTGCCGCATTTAATGGTCAGAATTGTTTGTTGTGAACCCTCCCCCCCCCCCCCCCAGGCAAAAGAAAGGAACAAGACCCCCAACCCCCCCCCCTCCAAAAGAAATAAAGATACATAAACTGATGAACATGAATGAATACAAACGAATACAAAAACAACAACAGATACATAAAATTCAAATAAATAAAATAGAAAAACAAATAACAAAAATACACAATCCTTTTTTTTCCTTCTTCTGGGCCGCTGCCAGGCGCCTGGCTGGGGGGGCTCCAGGCACGTGGCACCGCGCCGCCAGATCGGCAGATCGGCCTCGGCTTACCGATTCGTTGCGTGTGAAAAACGGCACCCGTGGTGAAAGCACAGAGAACAGGTTTTTTCCCTATGTTTGTTGGCTTTTGACCAGGGAATCGAATCCTGGAATCCTTCTCTGTCTGAGGTGGTGCAGGATTTCGTCCACAGTATGTTTGGTTTGTCACACTTTGAGCCAAGAAAGCGACATGCCGCAAATCTCCGCAGAGATTGTTTCTGGAACGAGAGAGGAGGCTCCTACTGTGGATGGTTGCGAAATCCGGTCGCACCACTTTCAAACCACGGGAGACCATTGTTTGTTGGTTTTTGCAGGGGAATCATCCTTCTAGGCTGCCTGAGGTGGTGCAGGATTTCGTCATCCACAGTATGTTTGGTTTGTCACACTTTTTTGCGTTGGACGAGAGCCACCATTGCCAACCACTTTCACCCCTGCACTCTGGAACATAGCTTCTGACGTCCCTTTCGGCATTTCCCGGTTCCAGTTGCCACTCTGCGGTGAAACCGTGATGTAATACGGAGGCCGCTTGGACGCCCCCGACTCGCAGGTCTGGCTTCGGCGACACCGGTTTCGTGGCCCGGATGGGTTAAAGGCTTTGAGCCTGAGGTGAAGCGGCCCGTGCAGATATCCGGCCTTTGGACTTTTTTTACATTTGGCGTGGAGCTCTTTAGAGCAGGTTTTGATTACGGCTATGATCAGACGTCACAAAATGCAAACATGCCAGTCGGAACAAGAATGAAGATTGACTTATATCCGTAGGCTTGCACCACTTGAATTTCAAAGAGTTTGCATTCCGAGGGGAGGCCATGACTGTCCTGCCCAGGGCGGCCCCTCGACGCCACGAACTGCAGGGGGTGCAGGCGGATGCGTCGTGTGGGAAGTCTTGTGAACTTTGCCGCCGAATGCACTGAAAAAGATGGTTGATGCGCAGAAATATCCATGTAAACGTCCAGAATGTCCAACCCACCTGAATCTCATATTCAAATGGTGCTCGGGTGGTATGCAGAAGCCGATTTGGGCGATGCAGTGCATTCTGTGCGCATAGGTGGCAACCCCTTCGGCGGTGGCGGTGGCGGCGGCGGCGGCGGCGGCTTTGGCGGCGGCGGATTTGGCAGCGGAGTCGGCAGCCAGGTGAGGGAAGGGTGCGGGCTTCCGGCTGGCTTCCGCCCCGGTCCCTTTTTGTTTGGTGGCTTACCCGCGAATATGGCCAACCCGAAAATGAGTTCCAGTCCTTTTTCTACCAGCGGTCACTGGGCCAGTGGGGCTGGAGATTGAAGCTTGTGTCATTCCAAAGTTCTTGGATGGTGAAATAGTGGATTTCTGCTTTTTGCCACAAGTCATGCGCTGCGCCTTGGCCCAACTTGCTATCTTGGAGCGGACTGGCAGGCACCAAGACCGCCTTTCGGAGGCTGGATATGGGCTTTGCGCTTGGCGCGGCGTCTTTTTTGCGCAGCTTGCGGTGCGCAACATCAGACAACCCAGTCTGTATCTTCATTTTTGTTGTTTTTCTTCCGACCACAAGTTGACGTGCATCATAGCAATGTGCTTTCTTGCAGACCTTGCAGATTTCCGACCGCGCCGGCCGAGCCGAGATTTTTTTCTCTTGACTTATTAAACGCCTTGCGCCCCTTCCAATGCTTTGCAGTGGTCTTCGTGTCCTGAGCCGGCAGGCGGATCTCCGGGCTTCGGCAAAGGTGTTGGATCTCAAGGCGTGGCACGGCATTGCGCGGGCGACCATTCGTTGGTGCTGTGGATTGGTGCTGGGGAATTGAACAGGTGAATGGGGGGTTTCCCTGAACCACACCGCCAATGCAAACTGCCAAACAGAGGGAACCTGAATTTAAGCTGAGAACCTTTCGTGTGAATGAGGTGTCAGACCCCGGTACTGTTGACACATCCCTACAAAGGAGCTTCAAAAGGTCCTCTGCGGGAAAGTATAAGCAAAAAGGTCTTTTCTTGGGGGGGGGTTCCGTCAGTTTGGCCTTTGGCTGTACTCGGCCTTCGGCCTTTGGCTGTACTCGGCGACTGAAGGGTTGTCGCCCTTCGCGGACCCGAATGGCCCACTGACATGGATGGTCTTTTGATGTTTCCTCAGCCTTCTCGGCTTTTCTCTCTGGTTTATCTTCGGCATTGCCGGAATGGAGCTGTTTTTTTTTTCCTTTTTTTTTTTTTTAAATTTATTTATTTATCTCAGAAAGAAAAGATGAGATGATGAGGATCATGATGCTGTGGGTGATGAAGATGCCCTTCGCATCCCCAGCATCAGTCAGGCGACGGAAGGGAACAAGGACAGCCTCCAAAATGAGCTTGCCCTCTACACCAAAGCACCATGAGTATTTGCAACCCCAAAAGTCCCCACTTTGCATCCCCAGCATTAACGGCGGCCCAGCGACACGAAAGACAATGATCACGATCGCCAACATGATGATGATGATGATGATGATGATGATGATGATGATGATGATGATGATGATGATGATGATGATGATGATAATGCTGATGATGATTACGCATCCCCAGCAACATACAATTGCTGTAACAAATGATTTGTTGCCACCGGCAGCTGTTGGTTTTGTCGAACGGGTCTGACGGCCGTCGACAGAGAGCTTGTGGTCGTTCCCAGGACCAGCACAGGGCGATGCCTTCGGCTCGGCGCGCTGGGCATGTCGCGTCGCTTCCACGGTGGATGTCTCTGCCATGGTGTGAGGACGCCGCAACCGTTGTAAGGGATGATTCAGTGGGTCCACTGTATTTGGAGATAGGTTTTGCGCAGGGTTCGACGCGGCGAGCAGTTTTTGCTACAGGTCCAGCTGACATAGAGAGACTCCAATCGCGCCTCTCCATGCTTTGCGACCTGATATCAACCTCGCAAATCAACATGATGGCTCCGGAGACGACTTTTACACACCGCGCCGTGGCCGAAGTGTTCAAACTTGTTGGTGGAAGTCTGTGAGGTCTCTGTAGAAACCTTGTGGGGTCTCTCCTTTGGGGTACCCACCTTTCGTGTCTAGAAACCACATTTCTTTCGTTTTTCCAATGGCCACGAGATTTCCGCGTTGGATCCAGTGGCCTTGGTTCCAGCGGGTTGCCAGGCACCTGGCTGGGGCTCCGCGAGGCAGGAGCTCGTTCTTTTTTTTGATCCTTAGGTTTTTTTTGTTTGTTTTTCTCTTCCCCTTATGTTTTTTTTTTTTTTTTTTTTTCTCCCCGGAGGAAGTGCAGGAGTTGTTTTTTGAAGGAAGTGCAAAGAACAACACGGGCGGGCGGGCCGATTGTTCTCCGGACCGAAAGCTTCCGGAGGATCTGGATTTTATCAGGGCTGGAACGATTTTGTGTGTTTTTTCTTTTTTTTGAGGGTGCCCATGCGCTTCGTTTGGGAGGACAAGTGGGGTGATCGCGCCGCATTGTTGATTGGAACCCATTTGGCCATGAATTTAAATAAGGAACCACCTGGAACGTGGTTGGTGGACATAGAACCCCACCTAAATGATGTCCACCAGAGGGTCCCTAATTAAAATTCATGGCCAGTGTTCTTTTGTACCTCTTCTCATGGTTGTTGGGAAACATTTTTTCCATTTTTGTTTTGTTGTGGTTTAGTGGGACATCCCCACTCAACCGCTAATTTTTTTTCGATTTTTGCTCCCCTTCCAACGTCCGCCGAGTTCTGGGCAGGCCCGGCTTTGGACAGTCCTACGGGGAGACCGGCTTCGCGTCTCGGCAGCCACCGCGTATTTTTGCGGTGCAACCCAGCGATGGGGCCATGCATCACCAGACTTTTTCCAAAGAGGTTTCATATTCTTGGCCGTGGGTCAAAACCAATGGGATCCCATTTTTTGGTAGGTGGGTGAATTCACCACCCATAGAACCTATTTTAGTGGTTGGATTGAATCGGATGTTCACTGGGGGTACGGGGATGTTGACCGATGGCCATTTTACGGGGTAGACGAAAGGATCAGAGTCAGCAGACTTTGTGTTCGAAGTCATGTTGACTTTCGGACCAATCCGGAGGATTTTACTAGACAGAAGGACCCACTAAAATAGATCATTTCCCTACCAAAGGGACCGCCCCTGATGAGTGTCGGATCAGTCCGGCGCTAAACATTAACCCAGATGTCAGCAAAGATAGTTCCCTACTGAGAAGCAGCAAGTTGTTGGTCAAGGGAAGCAGCTATGTGCAGGACCCCAGAAACATGTACCCCAGCAGATTGAACGCCGTGGTCACAACTCCCTTTTGCTTGGCGCAACTCTTATATAGGGAATCTAGTGTTGCTTATGGGGTGCCACGTACGAGTTTTACTCTGCAACTCCGCAACATCTTTTTCGGGATTTCCTTTGTGGTGGTGGTTCTACGAGGAAACCACGAAAAGCAGCACCTCATCTTTGGGGTTCCAACACTTTAAGAGACTACAAGTCTAGGGGTACCTTCCCCATTCTTTCCAGGGATCCGGATCTTTCTAGAAAGCCTCCCGACATCCGGGGAAACCGGCCGGTTTTTGGAAAGAACGATGGTTGAAAAGACTGGAAGAGGAATCAACCCTTAGAATATTGGGGGACAAATACATGGCTAAAAATCGATGGCACTGGTTTGGGTGGGTGTTATCCCATTTACCCGGGCCATCTATTTTACCTAGACCAAGCGGAACGACCGCTTCGCCCGCTTTTGCTTTCGCTCGGCCGCTCGGCCGCTCGCTGGCCCGAGGGCGGCCAAGCCTCGACGCCCCGGGGAGCTGCAGCAGGCGTGACGTCGCGTTGCTTTTGGTGAAGGGGTCCATTTGGGCGGCTTGAAGATATTTTTTCCCCAACAGCTGAAAGCTTTGGGGTCTCAGCCCAGATAGGCTCCGGGGTGGTTCGAGGCGACCCTGAGCTAAGGTTCCACCAGGGTTCCACCAGGGTTCCACCAGGGGTTCCACCAGGGTTCCACCAGGGTTCCACCAGGGTTCCACCAGGGTTCCACCAGGGTTCGACCAGGGTTCCACCAGGTTCTGCAAGGGCGGGGTGGTCTGGGGTGGTTTGAGGTAAGGTTCCACGAGGGTTCCACCAGGGTTCCATCAATTTCTTCGAGGGCTGCAGGTTTGCGGAAGGTTTCACGAGGGTTCCGCCAGGGTTCCACCAGGGTTCCAGGCTGCGGGGTGGTCTGGGTGGTTTGGGGTAAGGTTCCACGAGGGTTCCGCCAGGGTTCCAGCAATTTCTTCGAGGACTGGGGTGGTCTGGCTTGAGGAAGGTTCCACGACAGTTTGACCAGATTTCCAACAGAATTCTGCCAGGGTTTCACCAGGTTCTGCGAGGGCTGCAGGGTGGTCCGAGGTGGTTAATTGAGGTAAGGTTCCACGAGGTTCCATCAGGTTTCCACGGGTTCCACCAGCCCGTCGTGCTCCGGACGAGGGTTCCACCAGGGTTCCACCAATTTCTTCAAGCTCCCGGGGAAGGTTCCACGAGGGTTCCACCAGGGTTTCACCAGGGTTCCACCAGCGGTCCGGGCTGGTTTGAGGTAATGTTCCATGAGAATGCCACCAGAATTCACCAGGTTTTGCAAGGTAAGGTTCCATTCCAGCACGGTTCTAGCAGGGTCCCACGAGGTTCTGCGAGGGCTGCGGGGTGGTCCGGGGTGGTTTGAGTTAAGGTTGTATGAGGGTTTCAGGGTTCCACAAGATTCTGCGAGGGCTGAGGTTTCACAGGGTTCCACAAAGCTCTGCAAGGATTCCACACGGATTCCACAAGGCTCCGCAATGCTCCACCAAGGGTGTGTCGTGCGCCCGTCGTCTGAAAAGCCATCAGATCAAGATCGCTTTGCTCATGGGCGGAACACTAAGCAAAACCGAAATCAATGGCTTTTAGCACACTTTCACTGTTTTGTGACTTGCTCACTTGCTCAGGCAAATGTTGGTTTTGTGGCAAATCAGATCACGTCGCTGCGGAACTCACGGTGCAGCAGAGTAAATGCTTGGCATTGCTGCTTGGTTTGCTTTGGGTTGCAAGAGTTCCACGAGGCTGCGAGGGCTATGAGGTCAGAAGGTTTCCAAATTCTGCAAAAGCTATGGGGCAGCCCTGAGGAAAGGTTCCAGCAAAGTTTCACGCTGAGCTCCACGAAAGTTGCGCGAAAACGGTTTGCGAGGTTCACCGGAACCCGATTGCGCTGTCACTGTTTGGGGCCGATCGGCCCCGATTGCGCCATCGCGCCCCGATCGGGGCCCGACTCAGTCAGGCCCTTTCAATTGTACAAGCTGGCGTCGCCTATAGTTTTGCCGCAATCCGCATACTAAGGAAAACCGGCGTTGAGCTATCATATGGGTGGCTGGGGTTGCACCACGGGACGATCGGGGCACGATTGCACCGTCGGGCCCCGATCGGGCCCCGGCCCCGATTGCGCCGTCGGGCCCCGATCGGTCAATTGTACCAAGCTGGCATCGCCTAGTTTTGCTATATATAGATGCAGTTGCAATCCGCATGCTAAGGAAAACCGGCATTGAGCTATAATATGGGTGGCTGGGGTTGCCACGGGACGATCGGGGCCCGATTGCACCGTCGGCCCGATCGGGCCCCGATTGCACCGTCGGGCCCCGATCGGGCCCCGATTGCACCGTCGGGCCCCGATCGGGCCCCGATTGCGCCGTCGGGCCCCGATCGGGCCCCAATTGCGCCGCAGGGCGAGATTGCGCTGTCACTCGTAGCTTTGCTTTACAAGGCGGCATCCTCAGCAACACCGGCGGTAAGGATGGTCCCGGGGCGTTCCGCGAGGATTCTGGGAGGGTGTGGTGCTGTTGGGGATATCGCCCGAGCTTATTTTCGGGGTGACGTTTTCCTTTTGGTCTCCCGCAAAAAAAGAAGCCCGCAAATTTGGGTGCCCGGAAAACGCGTTTCGTTTTCATGGCGGCCCACCTCAGTTGTGGGCGAAACACAACTCTAAATGTCCGCCAGTTTGTGCGACTTCTGACCATTTAAAACATCTTTCAATATTTTGTCTATCTCTTGATGGTTTAAAGGCAAGCCGGCGCCCAACAATTGTGAGAAGCCCTAAAGATGTTCACTCGCTTTGGGCACCTGGTACTCGTTTTCTATTGCCGCTCCCGCTTTGGGTGCCGAAGCTGCGGCGTTTTCCAGATTCCCTCCCACCAGCTAACATGGGTTTGTGCACAGACCCCTGTACTTTGTAGAAGGACCACTTTCCTCGTGGAAAGGACCTTTTTGCACTGAGCCATGTTAGTTGGTGGGGAGGGTTTTCCAGATCACCCGATTTCGGTGGCCCGAAGGCAAATACCGGTAATTGCTAGGTTCGCAGAGCGTAGGTGCCTCTGCGCAAGTTCGCCGCAGGTTCTGCGAGGAAGTGCTTGGTCAAGTTTCTCTCAGCCAGTGTTCTCTGAGGCAGCTCTCTGAGCAAGTTTCTCTGAGCAAGTTTGTCTGCACAGGCTTCTGTGAGCAAGTTTCTCTGAGTATGTTCTCTCTGCAAGTTTCTAGGGGTACCTTCCCCATTCTTTCCAGGGATCCTTCTTTTCAGGAAACCAGCAAAAACCCAGGGGAAACAGATCCGGTTTTTGAAAAGAACGATGGTAAGGGATCAACCCCTAGAAAGTGGCCTCTATGTAGGCCAGTGCAAAAGAATCCAACGGAACAGACCTACGCTTTCGGGAACAGTCCTGGTTATGCGGGGAACAACTGCTGTTGTTTGGGCGTGTTTGGGTTGGGGTACGCTTCTCATGGTTTTAAGGGGGAACCCAACAGCACAACTTCTTGGAGTCACCTTGAAAGCATACCTATTTGGGGGTGTCTTTCAGGCAACCCCTTCGGTGGCGGCGGCGGCGGCGGTGGCTTCAGCGGTGGCTTCGGCAGCCAGGCGTTCATGCGCGCGTCCGCCGATTGGTGGGTGTTGCTTAAAATGGCCCCCGTTCTTGGAATTTCAGGAGAGACCAAAAGGAAGGCAAGCATGTTTGAGGACCACTACTTTGCCAACCCCCTTCTGGGTTCAGAATCAATCCGCAAGATCCCGCCAAAAAGTGTGGCTTCGCTTGTTGTGGTCGCTTACCGCATTCTCCCGAGAAGGGAGCAACCCGGTCCGCCATCCCGGGCTTCGGACTCCTTTTGGCTTCCGCTCTTCGCAGGCACCCAGACCGGCGGGACCATTTGGAGGCCCGGAGAGTCACACGGAGTCATCAGCTGGTCAGAGTTTGGTGCTCAGGACACTCGCCCCATGCTGGGGATAGTACACTCGCCCGTTAAACACCATCTTTACATTTTTGGTTGTTAGGGATGTAAGTAGGGCTGTAAACAACTGGCCGGTTCCCAGAATGAGTCGGAATGACCTCGAACCGCACCATCCAGCTGGTGCCATCCTTGAAGGAACTCCACTCGGGGGGGCGGGGGTTCTGAGGCAAACAACTAAATTTTGCTGCAAATCAACCACAAAGCCCACCGTACACACACCCTAAAACACCCCCCGCAAACCCACAGTAAGCCAGCCCCCGCAAACTCTCAACAAAGCAACCCTAGCCATACCCGACAAGTTGTTTTTCTGATGCCGAGCGGGTTTGTTCATGCAGCAGTTTCCAGTCTTTTTGCAGTGTTTTGAAGCAGCATGGTAGCCAATAAGTTTTTCCCGAATGCCAGAAGGGTCCCGTTTTGGAAAGGGGTCTGGGGGTTAGCGTGAGTTCGGAAGATGCGTCGCTGCGTCTGCAAGAGTCCGCAAGTGTTCGCCTGCTGCAGGTGGCAATAGTTACCGTGCTGTTGGGAAGTCTCAGAATGTGCGATTTGCATGATTTGCAGCATGTTGTTGTCGTTGCGCCTGTGCGCAAAACGTATGTTGCGTGTCGTCTCATTGCGCAGGCACGGTGTTTTGGAAGGTTCACGTTTGCATCGACGCGCCACTGCGATTTGCATCTCAGAGGCGCGTGCGAGCGTTTGTGCGAGTGTCAGTTTCCTTGGCCCTGGCTCGTTTTGGCAAGCTGGAAGTTTGCAAGATCAATCGAAATCAGTTTGGCGCAGTGCAGTGCTACGTGTCAAAGTGGTGAGACATGCTCCAAAGCGCTACGCCTGCCACAACGTTTGATCACAGCGCGCCAAGAGGTGCGCCTGTCACGCAGCAGACGAAGAAAAAACCGTGCAAAGCGCTGCGCTCGTCGTGAAATCCGGCGCAGATTTGCGCTGGAGGGTCGCGTGCAGATTTTCGTGGCAGCCGCAGCACTTTGGAGAATGGCGGGCGCAGCGCTTTCGCGCACGTCTCACCGGAGCCCGATTCGCGTGGCAGGCGGGAAACTTTGGAGGCTCACGTCCTGCAGGGTCGCGTCCTGAATTCGTGGCAGGCGCAGCACTTTGGAGCACAGAGTGGTGGCGGGCGCGATGCTCTGTAGGGTCGCGTGTTGAAGTTCTCGCAGAAGATTTGAAAAAAGACAGAGAGACAGACGGACGCACGGACGGACAGATATACAGACAGACAGACAGACGGACAGATAGATGGATAGATAGATGGATAGATAGATAGATGGATAGAGGGGGAGAGAGAGAGATAGACAGTTAGCTAGATACACGAAAGAAAATAACAAAAGGAAAAGGAAGAAAGCCACATATGTATATATTTATTTTCTGGGCCTGCGGCCTCTAGCCGGCTACGCCTTTTTTGAAGTTATACCATGTCATGTCATGTTTTTGCATGAGAAACGTAGCGTGTGCTATGATATAGCTGGTTAGGTTATGCATGTTGCCCACCTTAACCCCAGATAATGCCGGGGATGCCGGCTTTCTGGGCCCCATCCAGGCCCCAACCCAGAAGGCAGACATGGGGTCGCGCGCGCGCGCGCCAGAGGACCCAAAAAAAGCAGCCCAAAAAGAGCAGCCCGCAAGCCAGGCCGGAAACGCAAATGCAACAAAACACTGTAAATAGCAGCGTTTTGTGGCTGGGGTCGCGCGCGCGCGCGCGCCAAGAAGCCCGAAAACCAACGCGAAAAAAGCAAGGGCCGCGCAGCACGCGAGCCAGCCACAGCAAAAGCAAAACGGACAGAACAACAGCCCAACGCTCAGCACAGCAGTTTTTTGCGGTATTTACAGCGTTTTGTAGAGCGAGGACCAAGCATCGCCGGCATGCCCGGCAGCGCTTGGCGCCAAAATGTGCAAAAATGAGCCTCGCTTATACCCCTCCGATACCTACTTAAAAACAGTGCTTTTTGGGTGGAGAGGCTTTTTGGAAGGAAGTCTTTAAGCCCCGCTGAAGCATCACCCAGGCCCAACCCCAGACCCTGACGATGTCAGCCACATGGCCTAAACCCTGCACACACGCGATGTTTCGCGAGGGTTTCCCACAGTCAAGCAAAACCGCAAGCCCGAGCTGGTGATGCAGAGGTGCCGGATTTAGGCCGCGCATCACGACCAAGTGGCGAGGGTCGGCGGCGCCAGGGTGCAGCCCCTATACCTAAAGCTAGCAGGCTAATTGCCTAGCGGTGACATGCTACCTGCTTTTTTGGACTTTCCGGTATGTCGGCCTCTGAGGACTGCGGGGTCTGCGGATATTCGGGCTGCCTTTTGGTAGCGCTTCTTTTTTGTTTGGGGACTTGCCTGTATGCTGGTCTCTGAGGTAGACCCCGGGGTCTGCGGATGCTGCGCGGAGACTCGGGCTGCCTTTGGGGGTGTTTCTTTTCTTTTTTGGGGGGACTCCCCTGCATGCTAGTTTGTGAGGTAGATTCCGGGGTCTGCGGATGCTGGGGCTGTGTTTGGTACTGCTGCCTTTTTTTTGGGGGGGACTTTCCTGTATGTTGGTTTGTGAGGCAGACCCCGGGGTCTGCGGATACTCGGGCTGCCTTTAGAAGTACTAGGTAGACCCCGGGGTCTGTGGATACTCGGGCTGCTGTTGGCAGTGTTTCTTTTTTCTTGGGGGGACTTTCCTGTATGTTGGTTTGTTTCTTGTTCTGCTCGTCTGCTCGCCTGTTGCCTGCCTGCGTGCTGTCCTACCTGCCTGCCCTGCCTGTTTTCTTGTTTGTTCGCTTGCTTCCTGCCCGGGCGATGGCTTGTCCGCGTTGCGCGTCTGTCTGCCGGCCTGCCGGCCTATTGGGATATGACCCCTGGAGCTGCTTCAAGCGGAAATGGCACAGCCGCCCGGCAAAGCACGCTGTGGAGGAGGACGCAGAAATCGAGAGCGCGCCGTCGTACTGCAGGCGCCGTGCGAAGGGAGTGTTGTTCTGAGGTTGGCTTTGATTTGCTAGAAGAGGGGGGAACAGAAGAGACAGTTTCATGCCCTGAGCACGCGATCCGAGGGGATTGACCCGAGGATTCACCATGGCCGGGGTTGCGCGGAGATTGATCCGCGTACGCGTGTGCAGGCCTTGAAACCGTCTCTTATGTTCTCCTCTGTTCTGGCAGGGGGGGGTTGATGGGGGGTGATAATGATGTTGGTGCGCTGGTGATGCATTTGGTTTGTACATAGCCCCCGGGTGGCTATAACTCCCGACCCCCCGGGGATAACCCCCGTAAAGTGAATTGCCGCAGTCATGTTTTTGGAGCTTTTCTGTTGAGGGCTCCCGGAGGTTTTTTGCTGTGTTTTTGTCCAACCCGAACGGTGCTCCCAGGTACCGCTCCGGCCTTGCTTCGGGCTGTTTTCTGTTTCTGGGTTTTGCACGTTTGCGCCGGTTTGGGTGATGCGGAGACGCGGGGATGAGGGATTCCTGTGTCTGTGATGCAGCTTTTTGTGGCCCGTTTTGCTGATTTTTGTCAGTGCTTCCAGGCGCGACCCCTCCCGCCCGGGCACGACCCCTCCCCTATTTTTGCCGGCTGGCCTTTTGTCTTCCCAGGTCCTAGCTGCCTGCCTGCCTGCCTGCCCGCCTGCCTGCCCATTTGTTAGCTTGCCTTCCTGTGTGACTGCTTGCCTTTTTTGTTTTTTCTCTCCTGCCTATGTGCCTGTCCGTGCGCCCGCTTTTTTGATCGCGTGCCTTTCTTGTGTTCCTACGTCTGTATGTATATGCATATGTGTATGTATGTATGTATGCATGTATGTATGTATGTATGTATGTATGTATGCATGCATGCATGCATGCATGCATGCATGCATGTATTTATGTATGTACCTATGTATGTGTGTAATGTATGTATGTATGTATGCAATGTAATGTAATGTAACGTAATGTAATGTAATGTAATGTAACGTAATGTAATGTAATGTATGTAATGTAATGTATGTATGTACGTATGTATGTGTGTAATGTATGTATGTCTGTATGTATGTATGTATGTATATAATGTAATGCAATGTAATGCAATGTAATGTAATGTAATGTAATGTAATGTAATGTATGTATGTATGTATGTATGCATGTATGTATGTATGTATGTACGTATGTAATGTATGTAACGTATGTAATGTATGTATGTATGTAGGTATGTATGTATGTATATATATATATATGTGTATGTATGTATGTATGTATGTATGTATGTATGTATGTATGTATGTATGTATGTATGTATGTATGTATGTATGTATGTATGTATGTATGTATGTATGTATGTATGTATGTATGTATGTATGTATGTATGTATGTATGTATGTATGTGTGTAATGTAATGTAATGTAATGTATGTATGTATGTAGGTATGTATGTATGTATGTATATATGTGTATGTATGTATGTAATGTAATGTAATGTTACGCATGTATGCATGTATGTATGTATGTAATGTAATGTATGTATGTAATGTATGAATGTATGTATGTATGTATGTATGTATGTATGTATGCAGGTATGTAATGCATGCATGCATGCATGTATGTAATGTATGTATGTATGTAATGTAATGTAATGTATGTATGTATGTATGTAATGTAATGTAAGGTAATGTAAGGTAATGGTAATGGTAATGGAATTGGCAATGGTAAGTGGAATGTTTTGGTAAATGTAATGTAATGGTACATGTAATGTAATGTAATGTAATGTATGTATGTATGGTATGTATGGTATGTATGGTATGTATGGTATGTATGGTATGTATGGTATGTATGTGTGTACGTAATGTATGTATGTATGTATTTATGCATGTAATGTATTGTATTGTAATGTCATGGGCTGTAGTGTATGTGTGTATGTTCGTATGTAATGTAATGCAATGTACGTATGTATGTATGTATATATGTACGTTTCAAGTGTGCCGCTAGACCCGACTGGAAATGCAGAGGACGCGTTGTGTTGATTGTCATGATAACTGCTGGTGATGCTGAGGATAATTATCATCAGGATGATGATGATGATGAGCATGATGAGGAACATGATAACATGATGTTGAAAATGATGATGATGGCGATGATGATGATCCTGATGGGTATGATGATGAAAGAAAGTGATCATTGTTGCTCATCATGTTCATCATCGTTCTTATTTTTCATACACGTTTCAAGTGTGCCGTTAGACCCGACTGGAAATGCAGATGATGCGTTGTTATTGTCATGATAACTGCTGGTGATGCAGAGGATACGTAGTATCATCAATAATTATCATCATCATGTTCATCATCATCGCTCTTCTTTTTCATATACGTTTCAAGTGTGCCTAACGCCACATTTGAAATGTATAGAAGAAAGAGATGACGCTGACTATCATGATGACGATGATGAAAGTGATGATACACCACCATCATCACTTTCATCGTCATGTTCATCATGATCATCATCCATCATCATTTTCATCATGTTCATCCTCCTGACGATAATCATCAGTACGCATCCTCGGCATCACCAGCAGTTAACGTCATCACCACGGTTTTTGATGATGAACAGGATGAGGAACATGATGATGCAAGATGATGTAGCTAGAGACTGATTGATTGGCAGATAGGTAGGTAGGTAGGTAGATGGGCATGTAGATAGATGATAGATGGGATATACTTAGATAGGTAGATTAGGCTAGGTAAGAGGATCGGTGGATAGATTGACGGATGAGACCGGACTAGGTTAGATAAGATAAGATTGGAGTAGATAAGCAGAGCAACATTAGATAGATAGATGGATAGATGTAGCAGAGTTGTTTGTGTAGATTAGGTGAGACTAGATTGGATTGAAAGACTATATTAGATAGGCAGATGGACAGGCTTGGTTGGACTAGATAGATCAGTTAGATTAGGCTAGACTTGCTTGGATTGGATTAGGTTGGATTGGGTAGACAAATGACAGATAGATAGACAAATGTAGATATAGATAGAAAGACGCATAGAGAGAAATTGATAGATGAGATTGATTGATCGGGGTAAAAGGGAGAGATCGACAGTCAGAGAGATGGATAGAAAGGTAGAGAGACTGACGGACCAGCCTAGATGAGAAAATGATAGACTAGATCCAACTTGACTAGGTTAGCAAACAGTGGCTAGATAGGCTGTTAGGTGGGTGGAAAGATGTGCCGACGCCTAAATGGGCAGGGACAGACAGACAGATAGATCGCTAGATGAATCGATGCGCAAGTAGGTGCATGGATGAATAGGCAGGCAGATGGAGAGTGAGAGATCTATACATATACATATATATATATATATATATATGTGGTACTCTGGCATGGACCCTTGTTTGGTGAGCTTGCACTGTGTTTTTCCACTGTTTTATGCCTTTTTGCATCGCTGATTTTGTGGCAAGATTGGGGGGCGCCATATGTATATATATATATACATATACACATACATGTGTAATGTAAGCAAAGATATCAACATCTGCTACCTGACAGAGCCTGCATCCATCTCAGAGTATTGGGACAACGCGGTTTTTTTTCCGGGATTCAATATTCAAGAATCGGAAGAACAAACTGGGAATCTTTAATCTTGAATCTTGAATCCCGTTTTTTGACATCTTGATTCAAGATTCAAGACTCAAGAATATGCAAACATATGTTCTGGGATCTTGAATCTTGAATCCCAGATTTTTCAATAAGAGGAAACAATCCAGGGTTGTCCCAATCATCTCAGTAAGATTCTCGGGAAAAAACAACTTTCCGTGAGTATGACAATCTCGAATCTTCAATCCAGTGGTCAAATACGTTCAAGGTTTTAGAGCAACTTGATTTTTTTAGGGGTTGACAGGAAGGATGATTCTGGGGAAAGTTGTTGTTTGTGCATCCTCAATATTGAACCCTCAATCCAATGGTAAAACACTTTTCAGTGTTAGAATATCTTGAATGTTGTTTGGGTTTGGCCAGGATTGACAATTCTCAGCACAGTGTTTATGTGTAATCTTCAATCTTCCATCCGGTGGTAAAAAGTACTTTCAAGTGCTTAGCAATCCAGTGGAAACACTTTAGAGTTACTAGTTAGACAAACGTTGCAAGTGCTTCTGGTGAGTGCTTTTGCTTCATGTCTGCTATGCTCATGCTGACCCTTCTCCAGGAGGTAAACAAAGGTAGGTGCAATGCTCAAAAACACTGTATTTTGCAGTTTTTATGATGAGGCGAAGGAGAATTAGAGGTACTATATATATATATATCTATATATATGGTACAGCGTTGCCAACCCCCCCCCCCCATGGGGGGGGACCCATACCACGGAACACGGGACGTGTGTATGTATGTTTATGTATAGACACATGTATGTATGTTCACACACCGTCACCCCCTCCCCCTCTTCAACTACTTGTCCACGTTTGCTCATCTACTACCTCCACCTTTTGGAGATAGAATGGATTTTGTTTTCCTGTGCAAATAGAACTTTAAATGCAACCGACTTAGCTAGAATCCCTGTTTCGAGATAGTTTTCAGTTTGGACCTCTCTTCCCTTGGAAACATCGTCTAACAAGTTTGTCGTTGGACCTTTCTTATTCTACAAAAGGGCCAGAATGTGAATAGCACACTTAGATTGATTTTGGGAATAAGCTCCTATCTTTTTTCGTTTGTCAAGTATTAGTTGGAGTTACCCGAAACTATTATGCAGCTCCTATTGGGGAAGTTGTTTTTTGATTTTGGGAATAAACTCCTATCCTTTTTCGTTTGTTAAGTATTAGTTGGGGTTGACCCGAAACTATACTTACATGCTCATGCAGCTCCTATTGGGGAAGTTGTTTTTTGTAATTGAACATAGACACATTTTTGAAATCTATATCCCAACTAAATCATATTCAACATTCCAATTTTAGTTGAAGTAGCATCCTATTTGGAAAGGGAATCATATTGGTACAATTCGGAGGACTCCAGGCTCCGAATTATGAGGCTTTGGGGACCCACAATGGCGAATTTAAGTCTCGAGATTCTAGATTTACCATCCCCATTAGGCAGTAAAACAAGTGTCTGTGAGGGGGGGGGGTGCATATATCTATATCTATATCTCTATATATATATATATATATTTGTATGTATACATATATATTAGATATATATATATATATATATATAAATGACATCAAGCAACACCTAGGCACCAGGGAAAAGGGCGTAGCATATATATATATATACATATCAAAATAAGGTTGGGCAACAGGCAGGTACATGGATGGGCAGGGACGCAGACACACACACACACACAACGGTAGCTTTGGGCAATTGATCTGCATTCGGGTCGTGGCTTCTGTTAGGTTTCTTGGTTTTTAGAAGCGCCATTTCTCTGATACATGCTTTTTGATGCCTCACCCCTTCCCCAAACATATAAGGGGTATTTGAGGATGCTTTTTGAAACATGTACAATAGAGTTATGTAGTTTCCCCCTTGACAAACCAATTGCCCGACCCACTCACTTGGAGTCTGACTAGCAGGGGGCCTCAAAGACCATTTCCGCCTTAAAAGGAGGGCGCTACTTCTTGGAAAGAAGGCAAGGTATGCTTGACAGGCCCCTCACATCTCTCAAAACTTCACCTGAGTCACAATCAACACCCGGGTAGATGAAGGTTAGTAAGGGACGATCCCAACCAGAAATAGCTGCGGCCGCCTTCTACTGTAAATTCTTTGCCTGGGTTCTGGGTAGACCATTTCATTACCGGGTTTTGATTGTGACTCACCTTCCAATCAACACTAGGTCCCCGACTGCAAGAAAGGGGGTAGACTTGGATTTGCCTCCAGGCCAAGGCGTCGCATCGAATGGCTGGCGATAGCGCCAAAATGAATGCCCGATGAAAAATGAGTGCGCGGCCGCTCGGTGTGGTCCGACTCTCACCCGAACCGGTCGGACGTCCGAGGGTATGAAACCAGCCTGAACGCTCCAGTTCCCTTTGGTCTTCCTGAACGCCCCAGGAAACGCCACCGGGCCTCAACAAAGGACACACATTTCTCTTGGATTGCGTGGGAGTTTGCTCAGCGGATTTTTTGAGTGTACCATCGTTGTAAATTGCGGGATGGTTCCCTTGTAGGATGGTAATATTAAGTCTCTTTTGATGTGAAGGAGTTCTTGTTTTACCCACGAGAGTTGCAACTCATGCCGACGACAACAAGCTGACCAATGAGCGACATTTCTCGCAGACATGGGCATAGACGCAGCGAGTTGGCGAAGGATTCCAGCAGGCCATTGGCACAGAGGGGCAAGGTCAAGACATTGGATGAGACCATTGCGTGGCCGCGACCCCAGGCTTCGCACATGAAATTCGGGGCCATGAGTTTTGGACTGGCGCTAAAGATCAAGCTGAGATTTGAGTAGCGGGCCGTTGCCTGAGCCATAGTTGTCTCCTTCTGCACCTTGGACACTTGCCATTCCTTTTGCCTCTGATTTGCTTCGCCCTAGATGCTGTTTCATTGCCCGCAGGCCACTTTTGGCTGAGACAAGGCGACAGATCGTTGATAGACCGTGCCATGACGCGAGCTGATGCCATCTACGAGGAGCTGCAGCGTGATGAGGAGCAAGGACTGATTCCAACTGCTCGGGTGAGCGGCAAGAGCACGCGGACTTGGTTGGTCCGCGGGGTGGCGGGCACCCTCGTGCTGGGCGCGGCCTTGGTCGCCGTGCTGTACCGGCCCACATTTCTGAAGGCGTCAGTCCAGCGCGCAGAGGGGAAGTTCACCAAGGAGTTTGATGCCAGCGATTCAGGTGGCATGGATGGAGCTTTCTCTGAATCAGGAGACAGCTCCGATATCTCCGGATCAGGCATCTCCGGATCAGTTGTCTCCGGATCACTTGACTCCGCCGGATTAGACGCATCAGGCTCCGTCGACTCTGGTGACTTGGCCATCCCGGGCGACTCCGCTGACTTGGCCATCCCGGCCGACCAGGTGGACTCTGGAGACTTGGCCGTCCCGGGCGACTCCGGTGACTTGGGCATAGACGACCAGGTCGACTCTGGTGACTTGGCCATCCCGGGCGACTCCGCTAACTTGGCCATCCCGGACAACCAGGTCGACTCTGGCGACTTGGCCATCCCGGGCGACCAGGTGGACTCTGGTGACTTGGCCGTCCCAGGCGACTCCGGTGACTTGGCCAATGCGGACGACCAGGTCGACTCGAGCATCCCAGACGACCAGGTTGACTCTGGCGACTTGGCCATCCCGGGCGACCAGGTGGACTCTGGTGACTTGGCCATCCCAGGCGACTCCGGTGACTTGGCCAACGCGGACGACCAGGTGGACTCTGGTGACTTGGCCATCCCGGGCGACTCCGGTGACTTGGGCAGCCCAGACGACCAGGTGGACTCTGGTGACTTGGCCATCCCGGGCGACTCCGGTGACTTGGGCATAGACGACCAGGTCGACTCTGGCGACTTGACCATCCCGGGCGACTCCGCTAACTTGGCCATCCCGGACGACCAGGTGGACTCTGGTGACTTGGCCGTCCCAGGCGACTCCGGTGACTTGGGCATAGACGACCAGGTCGACTCTGGTGACTTGGCCATCCCGGGCGACTCCGCTAACTTGGCCATCCCGGACGACCAGGTGGACTCTGGTGACTTGGCCATCCCGGGCGACTCCGGTGACTTGGGCATAGACGACCAGGTGAACTCTGGTGACTTGGCCATCCCAGGCGACTCCGGTGACTTGGGCAGCCCAGACGACCAGGTCGACTCTGGTGACTTGGCCGTCCCAGGCGACTCCGGTGACTTGGCCATCCCGGACGACCAGGTGGACTCTGGTGACTTGGCCATCCCGGGCGACTCCGGTGACTTGGCCATCCCGGGCGACTCCGGTGACTTGGCCATTCCGGACGACCAGGTCGACTCGAGCATCCCAGACAACCAGGTCGACTCCGGCGACTTGGGCAGCCCAGACGACCAGGTCGACTCTGGCGACTTGGGCATCCCGGATAGCTCAGGTGGCTCCACAGACTTGCCAATTTCAGATGATCATGATGGTGACTACGACTGGCACAGCGGATCTGGAGGCTCGCCAATCCTGGATGATCAAGCGGGTGACTATGGCGGCGATGCTCACTACGACTGGCGCAGCGGATCTGGAGGCTCGCCAATCCTGGATGATCAAGCGGGTGACTATGGCGGCGATGCTCACTATGACTGGCACAGCGGATCTGGAGGCTCGCCAATCCTGGATGATCAAGCGGGTGACTATGGCGGCGATGCTCACTACCACTGGCACAGCGGATCTGGAGGCTCGCCAATTCCGGGTGATGCTCACTACCACTGGCACAGCGGATCTGGAGGCTCGCCAATTCCAGATGATGCTCACCATCACTGGCACAGCGGATCTGGAGGCTCGCCAATCCTGGATGATCAAGCGGGTGACTATGGCGGCGATGCTCACTACCACTGGCACAGCGGATCTGGAGGCTCGCCAATTCCGGGTGATGCTCACTACCACTGGCACAGCGGATCTGGAGGCTCGCCAATTCCGGGTGATGCTCACTACCACTGGCACAGCGGCTCTGGAGGCTCGCCAATTCCAGATGCCGCTCACTACCACTGGCACAGCGGATCTGGAGGCTCGCCAATTCTGGATGATCATGCGGGTGACTTTGGGCATTCTCACCACCACTGGCAATCTGGCGGCTCCGGTTCGTGGCACGGATCGGGTGGCTCCTGGCATGGATCGGGTGGCTCCGGTTCCTGGCACGGATCGGGTGGCTCCTGGCACGGATCGGGTGGTTCTGGTTCGTGGCACGGGTCTGGTTCTGGTTCCTGGCACGGATCGGGTGGCTCTGGTTCCTGGCACGGATCGGGCGGCTCTGGTTCCTGGCACGGATCGGGCGGCGGCTCTGGTTCCTGGCACGGATCGGGCGGCGGCTCTGGTTCCTGGCACGGATCGGGTGGATCCAGCAGTTCCTCGGGGCACACTTTTGCATGCCCCGGTGGCCACGTGCACCAGTGCCCTGCCGAATGGAAACAGGAAGGCAATGCTGGCGGCTACCACTGCCTGCACAAGTTGGCTCGCCAGACGTCCCAAGCAGCCTACGAGAGCTCCGGTGGTGCCTGCCGCCCAGCAAAGGACGGCCCCTTCCCTGTCGCAGACTGCCAAGTTCAGTGCGGCATCGGTGCAGCGGGCAAGAAGGCGCCCCTGCTGAAGTGAGAACAGTTTCAGTCCATGGCCATGTAGGTCAGCTTCAGGTCAGTGAATTGAGCAAGAACTTGCCAAGGATCTGAGCTAACAGAGGCGGGCGGATTCGAAGATTCTTTTCTTTTAGCAGAGCCTGGCTCTGCAGCACTGCGAACAAGCGCAAAGCTGCTTGATTTGACTTGACTCCACTGTATTTCTTGCCGGATATTTGAAATTGGAAATTCTAAAGTGATATCGAATTAATAATAAATCTAATTCTTTATATATATGTATATATATATATATATATATATATATATTGGATATTATTTTTTAAAATTAAATTCAAAACATATTTAATAATTTATATATATATATATGAAGATAATACATATATATAAATTGATTTTTTTTTTTTTAAAAAAATACACTGGATATGTATAATAGATATTATTATGGAAAAGGATTGGAAACAAAAAATATAATAATAATTTAAAAAATACATTTTAATTAATATAATTTTATAGAGTAATAATGGGAATAGAAATACATAATTTAATAAAATTTTGGATTGAATTGCCAATTATATTTATAGATATTGGATTATTATTTGTTTCTTTCTTCTTTTTAAACTATAATAAATATATATTATATTATTTATATATTATATTAATAATAATTTTTATTATTTTAATTTGAATATATTTATTATATATAACATGAAATAATGAAATTTGCTCGTCGTATTTGTACGTGTTTTCTCGGATCGTTTTGCCGAAAAATCCCGGATATTTCGGAAACTTGATCCGGATTGTTCCTGGAAGATGTAATCGCTTTATATTTCTTACGGATCGGTTACCTAAATCTGTCTGGATTATCCCGGTTATAATTCGGAAGATATAATGATATTCCCGAAATATTCAAAAAACATGGTATGGTTACGATTTTCCGGAAATTGGTGTCTACAAAAAATGAAATTTGGCCCATTTTCCGAGAGTTTGGCGATGCGAGAAGCTGTGAGCCGCGTTACGACTAGTGGTGTTTTTCCATTTTTTTTTTGGGCGAAATTAATTTTCTGGTCGATCGCGTTTGCGCTTGCGCTTGCAACAATTGTGTATGGGGATGGATCTCTCACCTTGCTTAGGCGACCGCCTTTCACTGACTCTTTGGCGTGACCTTATCGCGACCAGTCCGGCCCTCAGTGCGTTTCGCGACCTGCGTTTGGAGAACGACAGCATGCTTTTCGCATGTGCCGAGTATACATTTTTGATATATATGAGATGATAAATATATATTGGTGCCCGAGTTGCAAAAAATGTCTTGCCGACACAGGTTCTATAAGATTTGCTCTGTTCCTGGCACACCCACCATGGCCTGGACCTTGGTCCCCTGAGAGCTCGGTCAAAACGGCACCTGCCTCAACTTACCCCTAATTGCTGGTTTGGATTGGTGGTTTGGAAATTGAACCCCTGGATCGTTGAAATTGAATAGAATACCGGGGTCTGATATGTATTTTCAGGCATGTACAGGCACATGCAAAGGCAAATGAGCATTGTTTGTTTTATTCCCTAAACAATTTACTGTGAGGGATTCTAAATTCATTTAAAGTGGCTCGCCTGTTGCTAAGCCCTAGCCTGGATGCCTGGCACAGCTCTCTGGGTGGACGGGTTCATTTGTCTCCCTGTGTCTCCTTTCATTTGTCTCCCGTTGTCTCCCCGCCTGGATGCCTGGCACGGCTCTCTGGGTGGACGCGTTCGTTTGTCTCCCTGGGTTCACTTGTCTCCCTTTGTCTCCCTTCATTTGTCTCCCGTTGTCTCCCAGCCTGGATGATCTAGTCTGGGTGGACGGGTTCATTTGTCTCCCTTTGTCATTTGTCTCCCGTTGTCTCCCAGCCTGGATGCCTGGCACGGCTCTCTGGGTGGACGGGTTCATTTGTCTCCCTTTGTCTCCCTTCATTTGTCTCCCCAGCCATCCGCTCGGGTTCATTTGTCTCCCTTTGTCTCCCTTCATTTGTCTCCCGTTGTCTCCCAGCCTGGATGCCTGGGTGGACAGATTCACTTGTCTCCCTTTGTCTCCCTTCATTTGTCGCCCGTTGTCTCCCAGCCTGGATCTGGCACGGCTCTCTGGGTGGACGGGTTCATGTGTCTCCCTTTGTCCCCTTCATTTGTCTCCCGTTCTCTCCCAGCCTGGATGCCTGGCACGGCTCTCTGGGTGGACGGGTTCATTTGTCTCCCTTTGTCTCCCTTGATTTCTCCCGTTGTCTCCCAGCCTGGATGCCTGGCACGGCTCTCTGGGTGGACGGGTTCATTTGTCTCCCTTTGTCTCCCTTCATTTGTCTCCCGTTGTCTCCCAGCCTGGATGCCTGGCGCGGCTCTCTGGGTGGACGGGTTCATTTGTCTACCTTTGTCTCCCAGGATGTCTGGCACCCCTTTATTTCCCTTCATTTGTCTCCCGTTCTCTCCCAGATGCCTGGCACTTTTTTTTTGGTGGACAGATTCACTTTTCTCCCTTTGTCTCCCCTCATTTGGCTCCTGTTGTCTCCCAGCCTGGATGTCTGTCACGGCTCTCCAGGCGGACGGATTCACTTCAGCCTGGATGTGTGGCACTCACGCTCCGCGGTTTCCTTCACTTCCCGCGGTTCTGTCCTTTGGCGGGGTCTGGTTTGCCTTCGGCTTTGGCCCTGGCTTCGGTCATTCCTTGTCTTGTGGATGTTGGGGACAGGATCCTCCTCTGTCTGCCCTTCATCTGGACTTCGATTTCGCTTGGGCTCGTGGTGGGTCGTCTTCCTTGTCTATCGTTGGCTACACCCTGTCTGTTCGTTCAGTGCCTCGTTATCAGTTGCGGTCCCGAGCTGACGATAGCGGTGCGCTGCGGCGCGCGGCTTCAGCTACGAGAAGGCTCTGTTAACCCCCCGGTGAAACAAACGTGAATCACGCTGGAGTTAAATCCTCTATCGATTCTTCGAGGATGTTCAACGAACCTTACGCTGAGATACCCAGTGGTGCTCTTGGCACCTGGGGTTGTCCCGGCTCTCCCGGCGGACGGGTTCATTTGTCTCCCTCTCCCTCCATTTGCCTGACGGATTCATTTGTCTCCCTTTGTCTCCCTTTATTTGGCCCCGGTTGTCTCCCAGCCTGGACGCCTGTCACGGCTCTCTGGGGTGGAGGGGTTCATTTGTCTCCCTTTGTCTCCCTTCATTTGTCTCCCGTTGTCTCCCAGCCTGGATGCTTGGCACGGCTCGGTGCGCTGCACGGCTTCAGCTACGAGAAGGCTCTGTTAACCCCCCCGGTGAAACAAACGTGAATCACGCTGGAGTTAAATCGTCTATCGATTCTTTGATGATGTTCAACGAACCTACGCCGAGATACCCAGAGGTGCTCTTGGCACCTGGGGTTGTCCCGGCTCTCCCGGCGGACGGGTTCCTCTCCCTTCATTTGCCTGACAGATTCATTTGTCTCCCTTTGTCTCCCTTTATTTGGCCCCGGTTGTCTCCCAGCCTGGATGCCTGTCACGGCTCTCTGGGTGGACGGATTCGTTTGTCTCCCAGCTTGGATGTCTGGCACGGCTCTCCGGGCGGACGGGTTCATTTGTCTCCCTTTGTCTCCTTCCCTGGTCATTCGCGGTGTATTCCGCGGGCACGCATGTGTGTTTGAGGCTCAGAAACGTGTGTTTGAGCGCGCGCGTGCGCTTGATCAAGCCACAGGCAGCATGCTGCGGATGCACGTACGAGTGCTTCAAGTAAATGATTGTGTGTTCTTGGTGTGTTCCAGCTGACCACATCGGCGCGTTCCAAGTGAACACGCACTTTTTGCATGTGACCACATGAGTGTGTTCCACGTCAGCACATGTTTGTGTTCCAGGTGAAAGCATGCGATTGTTCTGATAAAACACATATGCGATCCGGTCAAAATTCCTAGTAAGGGGGTTTAGTCTACAGAGGCCACCGTCGCAGTCACTTTGTGCAGTTTTTCATTCACACAAAGCGGAGTCCTGCAAATACCAATGGATTGCCCGCTCCCCACTGGAGGCGCTAGGATGGCGCTTGGTTTGCGCTAGGGTCTTCGGTGATCTTGGTTTCCAAGAGTTGGCGCGTGGGTTGCCGCGATGGGCTTTGCGTGGCTTTCAAGGGTGTAATGTTGCAGTTCTTACTTAGTACTTGAAGCCAGCCCGCACGTTTACCTTCATCTTACGTGGCCTTAATTTGTCAAATCCACACAGATGGTCGCCGTGACTCCAAAAAATACGGCGAACCCGCGCTAGCCGCGCGCTAGCAAGGCGCTAGCGCAGTGGTCAGCTGTGACCGGTTCCCAGTTACGCTTCAATCCAAATTTGCTTCCGCTCTCCTCGCATGCAATTATCATGGAGTGCGATTTGCTGGACAAAGGGGAGAAACAACGGCTGAGGCAAGACGGCAGGGATGCCTTGTACCGAGCATACGGAAGAATTGGGTTGCGTATTTCCCTGCGAAAGCAAATGCTTTACTGAATCGATACGAAGAGTTGCCACAATACGATCAAAGCACTTTAGCAATCGATACGAAAGACACTGTGCAGCTAAGCGAGAAAGAAGCGCAATGCGCCGGAAAGCTTTTGCTAAGCTGAAGCCTGTAACTGCTGGAGACGCATCCGATACTGATAGTACTAGCAGTAGTAGCAGCAGCAGCAGCAGCAGGCTCGCGCGCTAGCAATGTGTTGCAAAAAAGCTAGATTGATCGTACACGAACACTATTTTCCTACTTGGAACACGCATATAAAACACAAGCGTTGTTCAAGGCAGAGCCCCATGGAATAGCGCCTCACAGCCGGCTTCGGGAACTTGATTTATGTGTCGCCCAGGCGTGCAGGAAATGTAAATTCCATGTGAACACATTTTTGTTGTCCAGGTGAACGCATGTGTGTTGCACATTTGTGTTGCACATGTTTCTCCACATGTGCACACACGTGTGTTCCATGTGTACACATATGTGTGTTACAAGTCAACACAGAAGTTTGTTTTGGTCAAACATGCTTGTGTGATCCAGGTCTGCACCAGTG